GTGGGAAGTCCCCCAAGCTAGGCACTGTCATTTATTTGGACAGGGGAGACATATTCAAGGGGTGGAGCCATCAGGACTTAGGTGCAATAGGAGCATGCTGTGGAAACTAGTCTTTGGGCGGCTCTTCCCTGGCTGAAGATTTCAGTATGGATGAATGGATCGATGAGTAAGGGCACTCACCATGAAAGACTTGGTTTCAATCTCCAGAATCCACATGAAGATGGAATGAAGGAAGTGACACCACGAATATCATGGAATACACACAATAATAATAAGAAGAAGAAGAAGGAGGAGGAGGAGGAGGAGGAGGAGGAAATTCATCAGTAGTGTTCACACTGGTTTCATTAGTGTCAACTTTCTAAGACAGATATAAAGCTATTTACAAATTAAACACTCCAATCATGGGGCTGGAGATACGGCTCAGTGGTTAAGAGCACTGACTGCTCTTCCAGAGGACCCGGGTTCAATTCCCAGCACCCACATGGCAGCTCACAACTGTCTGAAGATCCAGTTGCAGGGGATCTGACACATTCACACCAATGCACATAAAATAAAGTTAAATAAACCAGAAAAATATTTAAAAAAAAAATAAAAAAATAAACACTCCAATCAAAGATAAGACACACCTGCAATCCTAGCACTTGGCAACTAAAGGCAGGAGGATTGCCTTGAGTTTAAGGCTAGAAGGAAGCTGTTCCAGGCCACTTTGAGCAACATAGCAAGACCCTGTCTCCAAAACAGACAAGTAAATAAATAAGCATGTTGCCATGTTTTTATAAATCTGCATGTCTCTCGGTTTTGTCCTGTGATGTGAAGAAGCAATGTTAACTGTTCAGCTGGAAAGATCACATTCTGGGTTTGACAGCCCCACTCCCCCTTTCATTTTATGTGTAAGGATATTTTGCTTGCATGCATGTTGTAGGGATTCAGCAGAATAACTGTATCTGGGTAGAGAGTAGAATGAACAGATGTTTTTCGAAGTTCTTTGACCTTGAAGGATGTCTGTGGAAACAATGATTGTTTCCCATGATTTGTAGGATGGTTTTGCTGAAAGGGCATTGCAGCCATCCCCTGACTCTGGTTCCTGGCACACTCGAGGCTCTTGTATTATTGTGTATTGCAAACGACACATAATAAGGGACTAGAGTCATGGGGCATGTGATGCTCTCCTTTAGTAAGACATGTAAATTAGATTAGGGATGTTGGTATGAGGACATACTTTGTGTAAATTTCAATAGATACACCTTTGTACAGTTGTTGGGGTTCAGTCCATCAGAGAGGCTGGACCTCCCCTCTGTCACATAGGCCTTAACATTCCATCTTAGAGTGCCTTCCTTCTTCATAGTGCACTACACAGTGCACCCCAACACATGTATGTCCATATACCATATGAATGGCCTCGTGCCTTTAGAGACCAAAAGAGACCATCAGATTATTAACTCTGGTATGAGGTCCAGAAAAAATTCCAGTCTCTTTGAACATAAGAGATATTTTATCGTAATGTATTGCCAGAAAAGCAAAAGTTCCCTATCAAAGACTTGTTACCAACTTGAAATTCAAAGCAAGAAAAAAAATATATTTTTTGATTTTCCAAGATAGGGTTTCTCTGTGTAGCCCCGGCTGTCCTGGCACTCACTCTGTAGACCAGGCTGGCCTCGCACTTAACAGAGATCCGCCTGCCTCTGCCTCCCAAGTGCTGGGACTAAAGATGTGTGCTACCACCGCCCAGCTGAAAAATACTTTCTTAAGTGGATTTCCTTAGCACTATTTAATGAACATTGCACAATTATCAATTATTCAGAATCTGGACAAATCACTTTAGTATATAATTCTCTCATATATATGTTCATATATCTATGATGCCTTCCATCTAGATCTGATACTTATGTATTAATCTATCTAAAGGTGTTTTATAAGCCAGTCTGGCTTTGAATTCTCCACTTTCCTGCCTTAGCCTTTGGAAGGCTGGGGTTCTAGGCATGTGATCCTGCTCTAAAATTAATATCTCCCTGGTGAGAAATCACTCCACACATTTAGATTAATAAAAGGAAACGTTCTTTAATAATAGCATGAATCTGGCTCTAGATAATACCCGAAAGGAGCCCACTCCGAACAAATGTCTACTAGCTTGTATACACCTCAGGCTCACGCATTCTGCCTGTGCTGTTATCCTTCCCTCTCATTCAGATCCCTGCTCCAGGGCCCACTTGGAGCAGTTTAAACAGAGGCAGGAGACTGCAAGCCTGGCCACTTGGGCAGATGGGAGATTTACACAGCAAAGATATTATTTCCTAGGCCATACAGAATTATTTCTAAAGTTCATACACCAGTGTTGTTCTTTTCCAGCCATTGTCACCTTGCCCACCTGGCAGAATCATGCTTCTCCCAATAGAGAGAGAGCTCAGGGGACTTAATGGCAGGCTAGGACTTAATAATAGTTGTGACTCAGGGCTCAGTCATTGAGCTGCTCCTTAGAGGCATGTGTTGTTTTTTTTTTGTTTTTTTTTTTTGTTTTTTTTTTAAATAAGAGGATAGGCTTAATAGCCTGTTGGAAGTCAGGGTTCTCTCTTTGTGTTGTGGGAATGGAGCCTAATTGGAAGTAAATCTTAGTGCACAAGCCTTAGCACAAACTTTCTTAGCAACACAAAACTTTAATTTTGGCACAAAAATTTCTTTCCGAGAGTTTTTGTTTGTTTGCTTGCTTTTTGTTTTTTGTTTTTCGAGACAGGGTTTCTCTGTAGCTTTGGAGCCTGTCTTAGAACTAGCTCTTGTAGACCAGGCTGGCCTCGAACTCATAGAGATTCATCTGCCTCTGCCTCCTGAGTGCTGGAATTAAAGGCATGCACCACCACCACCCGGCTTTCCTAGAGTTTCTAACAAGCTTGGTTATTGTATTAATCTTCTGGTCATATTGGAGGCAAGTTTATTTGTAAATCCTTTATGCCATCAATATTATTCAAATTTCTTTTACATCAACTCCACACCTGCCTCTGATATTTTCACTTAAAAGCAAGGGAAGTTTTGTTGGTTTTTTTTTTTATATTTATAAACAAAACCAACCTCCCTCCCTGGACAAACAAAAACCAGATTAAACCAAATGTGCAAAGAACACCCCCGGCAAACATCTGTATATGCAATTGAATACTTGCATCTGTTACGGTGGCACAAACCTCAGACAAACAATATATATACAGTGTTCTGGGTGTGGGGGTCCCAAGTTTTAACTCTGTGGATTTTGGGGAGTCAAGCTGGGGGAAGTGAGAGAATGGGAAAATCAATGTACTTTTCTTAATTTTGTCCATATAAATACATTCATGAAGACCAGAGAGGAAAGGGGACTGGGGTGATGGGGAAATGGGAAATGATGGGAGTGTGGGACTCTCTCAATTCTACTTGACCAAAAAAATGGAAGAAATTAATTCCATGGTGGGAGAAGAGATAAAAAAAAAAATGGTAGCAGAGGATGGGAAGGAGAGGAAAACAGAAAGGACCAACAGGGAAAAGGACCCATGGCAAGGAAGTGGAAAGCAGTCCTATGCTGGTGTGAGAATCTGTCTGCTCCTCTCTTCAGCCATAAGGTGGTAGGCTCTGGCCCAGTCTTTCTGCCTGGGCTCCCTCTGCTCGGCCCCCACTCCTACTGCGCCAGTCCCTCCCCTCTTCAATTTATAGGGAGCTAGCTCGCTCCAGGATCCTCAGGTCGCAGTTCTTTTTGGCCACCCGAAGTTTGATGCAACTCACAGAGTTGTTGAGGCGGAGACAGGCATTCTGGGCGGCCAATACAGTCACTATATTTAGTGTACAAGGCAGCAAGGTCCCAGTGGTGGCCATTCTCTGCAGGCCCGCTGCTGTACCCCCGACCTGCACCAGGCAGCCCCTGAGTATCCGTAAGTGAACTTGGGGATCGAACGTATAAGTGATTTTGACTGGCATAGCAGGTGCAAATAATCCAGTTAATTAAATACAGCATTGCCTAGTCTGACAAGCTGAGATCTATCCTTGGAGCCCACATGGTAGAAGGAAAGAATCGACTTCTGCAACTTGTCCTCCGACTTCCACGTGCATGCTATCAACACACACACACACACACACACACACACACACACACACACACACACTTACTCGGGTACTGGGACCAAGCCTCCAACCTTCACCTGCCAGGCAAATGCTGGACTACATTCAAAGCCCAATAGATTATGTATTATTTGAGACAGTCCCAGCCTTCACAGTGCTGGAATTACAGACTTGAGTCACTGGACAGGCCAGCCTCTTTTCGTTAAGTGTGTGCGTGCGCATTCTTAGGCCAGGGCATATGTGAGGGCTGAAGGCAACTTTCGGAAAACCCACTATGTGGGTTCATGGGAATCAAACTTAGGGCCTCATACACGGACCCATTCATTTTACAGGGTTTCTGTGTGTTACAGTCCTAGCTGTACTGGAACTAGTGTGTTTGTAGACCACGTTGGGCTCGAACTCACAGAAACCCGCCCACCTCTGCCTCAGCCTGACTGCTGAGATTAAAGGTGCGCCACTACCGCCAGGCCAGGGCCCCATTATTTACCTTTAAACGTTACTCATTAAAATGAAATATCCCTATAAGCTATATTTAAATTGATTCGCTCATTGACACCCGACTAGCCAGAAAACCTATACCAAGAGTTCTTGCGCAGCCTTTCCGCGCAGGCAGGTCTGGTTAACACAGAGGGTCCCTTTCCCAGAACCCTCAAGGTCTCCCTCTGAGTGAGCTAGCCCACAGCGAGTATCCTCGGGCAGAACCTCAGCAGCCTGCAGAAGGATGAGCGCTAGGACCGCCCCTCGCTCTCGCCTCTGCCGACCCCTTCCGCTCTTTCCCCCAGGCAGCGTTCTTCCGCCTTTCGACCCGCCCATCCACTTCCCATGGGCGCCTGGGAGTTCGGGGGGGTTGGTCGTGATTGGTTACTATGTGTGTCAATGCGGAGCTCTGAGCCCACAATTGGCTGGCTTTCCTCACGGCCGAGTCACGCCGCTGAAGCGGCTTACGGCGGAGCGGCGGGCGCGCGGAGCTGTCTGGCTGCTCGTCCCCGGCGGTTTTCCGCGTTGCTTTGCAGCGCGTTTGTGATGGCGGCAGCGGTGACTGTGACGGCGGCGGCGGGGGCCGTGGCTGAGGAAAGCACGAGTGTGGCCACGATGGCAATGTCAGTTCTCGACAGCACGGGCGGGTCTCCCGGGGCCGAAGGAGAAGGCGTGGGAGCGGCGGGCGAAGAGAAGGACGCAGCCCCTAAAGGAGCGGAGGTCGTGGGGGATAGCGAGGAGGATGGGGACGACGTGTTCGAGGTGGAGAAGATCCTGGACATGAAGTGCGAGGGAGTACGTGGGGGCCGCGCCGCGAGCCGGGGCGGGGGCGGGGAGGAGAAGCCGAGTGGGACGCCGAGCAGCGGGCAGGACGGCGCCGGTCCGCGAGCGCCGGGTGCCATCTCGGACGGTACTCTGGCCGCATCCGTGGAGGACGGATGCTTAGGGAAGTTTCGAGCGTTGTTTTGGCAGAAGAGACGACGCAGGCGCGTGTGATGTTGAGAGTAGCAGGTGCGAAACAGCTGGTGGCGGGACTTGGGTTGCCTCCGGCGTTCGGGTGCACGGCTTAGGGCCAGTGGTCTCCTTTAGGAAGGACTGGTGGGGATCATACGAGTCGTCCTAGTTCATTCTCCACACCGTTGTCCCGATATCTTGTAAAAGGAGAAAAGTGCGGGCTGGAGAGATGGCTCAGGGATAAAGAGCATTGCCTGCTCTTCCAAAGGTCTTGAGTTCAATTCCCAGCACCACATGGTGGCTCCCAAACATCTGTAATGAGGTCTGGTGCAGGCATACACACAGAAAGAATATTGTATATATAATAAATAAATAAATAAATATTTTTTAAAAAAGGAGAAAAGTGCTCCGTGGTTTAAATTCAGAAATTCCCGTTCGGCTTCACAATATAAAACCCCAGTAACACCGAGCGGTTGGGACGGTAAGCGTTTCCGAAACCTGGATGTCATCCCTTTCTCCTCTTCGCATTTTACGAATTTAGCGTAAGGTTGAAAGAAAAATCATAGCACATTATGCTTGGGCACTTTATCCTCCTCAGTCGCACGGTGGTGGCGCACGCCTTTAATTCCAGCACTCCGGAGGCAGAGGCTGGCGGAGAAATTCTTACTCTGTCCTTCCAAGTCTCGGGGTCCATCTGTTTGTGATGCCATTCCCCAGTCCCCTTCCCGAACCTTGCAGAACAAGATTTTTTCTCATTTCTGTACTTTTGGTCTGTGGAGGCCTCTAGTTAAGGTATTGTCTTTTCTGCTCTCGATTATGGGCTCTTTTAATTCGGGACGTGGGTTTTTATTTATGTGTTTATTTATGTATTCATTTATTTATTTGCTTTTCGAGACAGGGTTTCTCAGTGTAACAGCCCTGGCAGTCATGAGACTCACTCTGAGACTGACCTCGAACCCTTGCCTGCCTGTGTCTTCCTGAGTGCTGGGAATAAATGCACTCGCACCACCACTTGGCCCGTGGTTTTTATTAATGTTTGAATCCCTGATATTTATTCCAGTAACAGCATTTACCATCTCCCCACCCCCACCCCCATGTACTGAGGACTGCATGCAAGGTCTCATGAATACTAAGCAATAGCTTTACCTCCGAGCTCTAGCCCCAGCCCTCGGATTATTAGATGGGTGAATGAAATGTGGGTTTGGAGAAAGGAAGCAAGGACAGTAGATAATTTTCGTGCCTATACGATGCATTGTTTCTGTTGTGTTTTCTGTCGTTTGTTATCTACCATATGCTGTCTTTCTGCCTTTCATTGTTTTTTTGTTTTTTGTTTTTTGTTTTTTTCTGAGACAGGGTTTCTCTGTAGCTTTGGAGTCTGTCCTGGAACTAGGTCTTGTAGACCAGGCTGGCCTCGAACTCACAGAGATCAACCTGCCCCTGCCTTCCGAGTGCTGGGATTAAAGTTGTGCACCACCACTACCGCCCAACCTTGTTTTTCTTTTTCTTTCTTCCTTCCTTTCTTTCTTTCTTTCTTTCCTTCCTTCCTTCCTTCCTTCCTTCCTTCCTTCTTTCCTCCTTTCTTTTTTCCATTGACACACTGTTTTGTTTTGTTTTTTAATTAACTGCTGTTTACCATGTATTGTGTTTAAGTTGGCTTGATGGTAGAGGTTTTTTTTTTAAGGCCATGTCTTTCTCTAAGAGGCTCGCTTCCCACCCCCCCACCCCCGCATTGTTGTCGTTGAGATGGGATTTCTCTGGCTGGCTTTAAAACTCAGAAATCTGCCTACCTCTGGCTCCTGAATGCTGGGTTTAAAGGAGTGTGTCATCACTGCCCGACTTGATGGTACAGATTCTTTTAAAGATATTTTTTTAGCCTTTATTTTATGTGTATTGGTTTTCGAACTGTGTATATGTTTATGCACCACATGTGCCCAAAGGAAAGGGCATTGAGTTCCCCAAAACTGGAGTTACAGATGGTTTGAGCTGCTGTGTGGGTGCTGGGGATTGGTCCCGAGTCTCCTGTAAGAGAAACCAGTTCTCTTAGTCTTGAAGGCCTGGTATCAGGCTTCCCCTACATCCCCCACTCCCACACCACCTGCGTTTTGAGGTAGGATCTCCCTCTGAAATGGAGGCTGGCCTAAATCTTGAGACCCTCCTGCAGTTACTGGTGCAGGAAAGTTGTCAAGTCAAGGTCGAGTTAAATAGTTGAAATTTACTGTCATCATTATGGAGCTAGAGAGAGAGTGCCAGAGTTCAAATCCCCAGAGCTCATGTAAGAGGTGCTAATCTGTAATCACCATGTTCCTGCTGGGAGATGGAAACAGTGCCTGTTGTACCTGCCTGCTGTAGTGTTGAATGAACAGGCAAGATCCAAGCCTGACTTTGTCCTACACTGTGTGTCCACATTTGTGAATGGCCACACATGAATTCTGGGTACCAAAGTAGGATCCTCAGTAAGAGCAATAAGCGGCCTTAATGATTGCTCTAGCAACTGGCTTCAGTTTGGGGATTTTTTTTTTAAATTTTAAGATTATAATAACACAATTTTCCATTTTTCTTTTCTCCCTCCAGATCTTCCTATATATCCTTCCTTTCTCTCTGTCAAATTTATGACCTCCATATCTTAAAAATAAAAATTCAAGCTTGGTACGGTAGCACACCCCTTTAATCCTAGCTAGCACTCAGGAGGTGGTGGCAGGGAGGTATCTTGAGTTTGAGGCCAGCCTGGTCTACATAGTGAGTTCCAGGACAGCCAGAATTACATAGTGAGACCCTGTCTCAAATAAACCAATTTAAAATGCCTGTGAGTTTTAGCTGAACTACTGATTACTTCTGTGATCTTTGACTAATTGCTTATTATCTATCTGCAGTTTTCAGATTCAACTAAGGAATGAATAATAGTACCTACTTCATAGATTGTTGTAAAGGTTAAGCTATTGAAAGTAAATATTTAAACAGTGTATGACATTTTGCAAAGCATATCATGAACCCTGTGTTATTAGATATGTTTGTGTCACATGCCTTTTTTGTATATGTATGTGTATTTTTTTCTTTTAGATTTTTACTTTATGTGTGCTTTATGTGTGTGTATGTATGTGCACCACATGTGTGCCTTGTGCTTAGGTCAGAAAAGACTAGAATCATAGTTTGTGAGTCCACCATGTTGGCATCAAACCCAAGTCCAGGTCCTCTGCAAGAGCAGTATTGCGTTTGTTTTGAGAGACAGTTCTCACACTGTAGCCCAGGATTGCCTGAAATTTACTATGAAACATAGGCCTTGCTTCAGACTTTGCAACTGTTTCCTCTGCTGCTTCGCAAAGGATTGTAGGTGTGTGTACGTGCTTTTGTTTTAAAAGATTTATCTTTTATATGTGCATGAGGATACCTTTGGAGACCAGAAGAGGGCGGCAGATACCCTGAAGCTGCTGGCTGAAGTGAGCTACCTCTTGGTGCTAGTAACCAAATTCTAGTCCTGAAAGAGCAAGAGCAGCAAAGTGCTTTTAACTGTTCAGCCCCATCTCTGTCCCCAGCCGCCATTTTGTTGTCAGAGTCAGTCGTCTCTTCCATGGTCTCTGGGGCTCTTTGGTCAGGTCAGGTGGGTGCCAGAAGCACCTTTACCTGCCAAACCATCTTGCTGTCCTAACTCCTTAAAACTTTACTAAGATCTGCTTGAGGAGTTAATGACATTGTCAAAGAAGTACAAGTGTACCGCTGCTGTGTTTTTGTTTGTTTTTATTCTAAGCAGTTACTAAAAATCTTTGAGTGACTTGCACTTGCCTTTTTTTGTTTTTCATTGCTATTTTGAGTATACATTGTTTTATATTATATATATTATAATATATATATTTCCTTCCCACCCCCCGAGACAGGCTCTCTCTGTAGCTTTGGAGCCTGTCCTGGAGCTAGCTCCTGTAGACCAGGCTGGCCTCGAACTCACAGAGATCCGCCTGCCTCTGCCTCCCTAGTGCTGGGATTAAAGGCATGCACCACCACTGTCTGCTGGCTGTTTTATAATTTATAATTAGAAAAAATTGTGGGGTTTTTGGTTGTTTGGTTGGTTTCTTGGGTTTTTTTGTTTGTTTGTTTGTTTTTTTGGTTTTTTGAGACAGGGTTTCTCTGTGTAGCCTCTGGTTGTCCTGGAACTCATTCTGTAGACCGGGCTAGCTTCAAACCTGGAGCTCCACTTGTCTCTGCTGGGATTAAAGGCATGCACCAACACCACCTGGTTAAGTCTTTGTTTCTTTTTTTGGTTTTCTGAGCCAGGGTTTCTCTGTGTAGCTCTGGCTGTCCTGGAACTCACTTTGTAGACTAGGCTGGCCTCGAACTCACAGAGATCCTCCTGCCTCTGCCTCCCGAGTACTGGGAATAAAGACGTGCTCAGCTGCCACCACCACCTGGCAAGTTTTTGTTTCTTTAAAAAGCAAACAAACAAAAAATTAATGGTACTTTTTTTTCTTAAACCACTGGCCTCAAGAGATGAATATGCATACTCTCAATATGGTGTTTGTTAATTTTCATTTTGATGCACTTTTCAAGTTCTCATGTTCTTAGCAGTTGGGGGTTCTGAAATTTTAATCAGTAATGTGTCTGCTTTTAATTTAATTTGTACTACAGGGTAAGAACCTTTATAAAGTCCGATGGAAAGGATATACGTCTGATGATGATACCTGGGAGCCTGAGATTCATCTGGAGGACTGTAAAGAAGTTCTTCTTGAATTTAAGAATAAACTTGCTGAGAACAAGGCTAAAGCAGTCAAGAAAGATATTCAGGTATCAAATTTTATCTCATACTTTTTTTGGTTTGATACTCTTTTTTTTTTTGTTTTGTTTTTTTGTTTTTTGTTTTTTCAAGACAGGATTTCTCTGTAGCTTGGGAGCCTATCCTGGAACTAGCTCTTGTAGACCAGGCTGGCTTGGACTCAGAGATCCACCTGCCTCTCTCTCTCCTGAGTGCTGGGATTAAAGGCGTGCGCCACCACTACCTGGCTAATAGTCATAATTTTATTTATAGAAAGTATGTATAGTAAATAATTTATGATATCTAGTATTTTGTCATGAATTCCATGTTGCTTATTTGTCCTCACATATAGCGTCTACTGATTTTGCTCAGCTCTTTCCATCCTGCCATTGTATTTGGCAGACAAGTGTAGTTTGCTTTCTGTACTTGTCAGTTTACCCTGTAATGAAATATCTACCATAACTTAAAGAGAAAGTGGATTTTGCCTTACATTTGTAGAGATATTAGTCTACCTCTGTGGGTGCCTTGATGCCAGACACCAAGATATTGTAAGCTCATGCTTTTATAAGCCAGGAAGCACAGAAGAAACCAGGGTCCACAGTCTTCTTTATCATCATACCACATATGAACTAAGGATTTCTTACTAGACTTCACCTCCCCAAGACTCTACCACCTCCCATTAGTGCCTCCTAGGTACCTTTGGAGGACATTCAGCATTCAAATTGCAGTAGACATAAATGTTGGTTAATAAGATGGGGCATACTTGTAGTCCCAGTACTCAGACAGTTAGGCTGGAGGCCAACCAGGGTTGTATAATGTGACCCTATCTTAATGACCCTTATAAGAGAGGGGTGTATTCAGTGATATAGCACATGCCCAGCATGTGCCGGGCCCTGGATTCAAGCTTCAGTGCCATGCTGAGAGCAGGAATGATAAACATAAAAGTGAAGGAACCACAGAGACATATAGACACAACATAATTTCAGATTTGCTCGTGATTTTAGCAACTATTCGTTATATGTGGAGATTATTGCCGTAACTTTTTTACTTGTTTTGCTCTAGTTCACAGTATTTGTTTTGTTTTTGTTTGTTTGTTTGTTTGTTTTTTAAATTCTTTTTTTTTTAATATTTATTTATTTGTTTATTATGTATACAGTATTCTGTCTGCAGGCCAGAAGAGGACACCAGGCTTCATTACAGATGGTTGTGAGCCACCATATGGTTGCTGGGAATTGAACTCAGGACCTTTGGAAGAGCAGGCAATGCTCTTAACCGCTGAGCCATCTCTCCAGCCCGTTTGTTTGTTTTGAGACAGGGTTTCTCTGTAGCTTTGGAGCCTGTCCTAGCACTCGCTCTGTAGACCGGACTGGCCTCAAACTCACACAGATTTACCTGCCTCTGCCTCCTGAGTGCTGGGATTAAAGGCATGTGTCACCACTGCTCAGCTGATCAAGTTTTTTATTTATACAAATATCTTATTCTTTTTTTTTCTGAGACAGGGTTTCTCTGTGTAGCCCTGCCTGTCCTGGAACTCATGTAGACCAGGCTGATCTAGAACTCACAGATCCTCCTTCCTCTGCCTCCTGAGTACTGGGATTAAAGAAAGGCCTATACAAACCAGACAGTGGTGGCACATGCCTTTAATCCCAGCACTTGGGAGTCAGAGGCAGACAGATCTCTGAGCTCGAGGTCAACCTGGTCTACAAGAGCTAGTTCCAGGACAGACTCCAAAGCTACAGAGAAATCCTCTCTCAAAAAACCAAAAAGGGGAAGAAGAAATAAAAAGCATATACTACCATGCCTGGCTAAAAAAGCATATACCACCATGCCTGGCTAAATATCTTATTCTTGATTTCGTTTTAGAATAGAAAAACATTTCAGTAGAAACTGTTTAGGATTATAAAACACAAATGAGTAAAATTCCTGTGTAATTAATGTGCTTGCTCCACTGAACTGAAATATAACAAGTTTAAGAACTTTCAGGGAAAGGTGAAAGCTGAGCATATAGGTATGCTTGCTGCCACATCTGATGACCTGGATTTAAGACCCATGTGTCCCAGACGTCACGTGGTGAAAAGAAAGAACAAAATTCCTCAGGTAGTCCTTTGATCTCTACATGTATACTGTGGCATTCACGCATATGCTTGCACGTTCACACAAAATAAATAATTTAAAAAGTCAGTTACAGCCCATCATACATGAGACTGTTACTTTTTAACTCGTGTTTCAGTTCGATGGCTCCAAAGCACATTCTTTTTCTTTGTCTCCTTTTTAAATTGACATTTGTCACCTCCAAGTCCTACTTGCTAAGTCAGAAACATAAATAATAAACATATTGCATTTAGGTAATTTAAGGAAGTCAAATCTGGGGCCTGGAGAAATGGCTCAATGGTTAAGAGCACTGACGGCTCTTCCAGAGGACCCGGGTTCAATTCTCAGCACCCACATGGCAGCTCACAACTGTCTGAAAATCCAGTTCCAGGGGATCTGACACCTTCATACCAATGCACATAAAAAATAAAGATAAATCATAAAAAAATTTAAAAAAAGAAGTCAAATCTGCTTTAAAAATGTTTTCATTCAATTTCATCGGTAGTGCCTCTCAAAACCCTTGAAATTATATTAATGTTTTAACCCTCTTTGTATTTTACAGAGACTGTCTTTAAGCAGTGAGATATTTGAGGCAAACAGTGACAGTGACCAGCAAAGTGACACGAAAGAAGATGCTTCACCGAGGAAGAAAAAGAAAAAAGTAAAGTGCAAAGAAGAGAAAAGTCCAGATGATTTGAAAAAAAAAAAAGCAAAACTGGGAAAATTAAAAGATAAGTTCAAATCAGAGCTGGAGAACACCTCTGAAAACTTAGGTTTTGATGTAAGGACAAAGAAAAGAATTTTGGAGGTCAAGGAAGAATTAAAGGACTCCAAAAAGTCAAAAAAGGATGACTTAAAGAAAACTAAAAGGGCTGAAATACGAGATTTGAAGTTTAAAATACGAGAAGATGTCAAAGAGAACCGCAAAACAAAGAAGGAAAGGTCTGTTGAATCTACACTGGAGTCTGAGTCACCTGTACCTTATGAGTCCCTCTGTCCAGTGGATGACGGGGAAGACTGGCTTTCTGCAAACAGAGAAGAGAATCAAAAGATAAAAACTGTAAAAGATAAGACAGGACTGGATACAGTGCAAGAGGGTATTTTTGAGAAACAACTGGATGGCCTTGTAAGTACAGAAGAAGATGCTGGTGCCCGAGTTAGAAGGAAGAAGAAAAAGCCAAGGAAGTTTGAGGAACTACAAGAAATCAAGAAGCTAGAGAACTTGAATACATTTTTAGAAAGGAAAATGATACCTAAAAAGCAAAGACATCAAGACAAGGGCAGAAGTAACCTAGAGTTAAGTAAGTTACCGTCATCTATATCTGCCCAGGCCCTGAAGGGTTCCAGACTGAGTGGGGAAGAGAAGGGCCTCAGGTCCTCTGACTCAGCAGAGGAGGTAAGGGCAGTAGAGAACTTGTAGAGTACAAATTGTTACTGGGTATTGAAGGGTCAGGGACTTTGACAAGGAATGAAGTGTAACTCCTCAGGTCATTAGATATGGTGTGACTGAGGGCAGCTGCATATGCTCAGATCTTCATGCTCTCAAACCCAAAATTTACCTCTTTCACCTTTTTTTCTTTTACCAAACATGACAAAGTTTTTGTAGAGATATTCAGGTGTTGTGCAACATTGTAGCTTCATCAACTTACTAAGTTTCATTGTGGAATGTGTGTGTGTGTGTGTGTGTGTGTGTGTGTGTGTGTGTGTGTTTTAAAAATATTATTTGAAGAGATTGGAGAGATGACTCAGTAGTTAAAAGAGCACTGACTGCTCTTCCAGAAGACCCTGGTTCAATTCCCAGCGCCCACATGGAAACTCACAACTCTGTAATTCATCCTCACACAGATAGACACAGGCAAAACACCAATGCAGATAAAATTACAAGTTGTAAAATAGATACTATTTGAGAATGTGATAGAATATATTCACCCCCACTCTTCCCCTAATTTCTCCCAGATCCACTTCTACCTTTCCCCTCTTCCAACTGTGTGTCTTTATCTTTTATTATTATTATTATTTTTTCCTTTAGTTTCATATCCAATTTATACTGGCCATATACTTCTGACTGTGGGATCCTCCACTAGCACATGATAGTCCTAATCTTAAAGAAAGCCTACTCCTCTACTGGCCGGTGGTGGCAAATGCCTTTAATCCCAGTACTCTGGTGGCAGAGACAGGTGGATCTCTGTGAGTTCAAGGTCAGCCTGGTCTACAGAATGAGTTCTCCAGGACAAGCCCAAATAGCTACAGAGAAGCCCTGTCTTCAAAAACCAGGAAGGGGGGAAAAAGCCCACTCCTGGAAACTGTCAACTCCAGAGCTCCTTGGTGAGGGGTGGGACTTGATGTCGTCCTTCCCTTTTGTGTTAGAGTGATGCCTAGCTTGATCTCGTGCCTTTCTACCTTCCTTCTTTCTTTCCTCTCTGCCTCTGCCTCTCTCTAACAAAATGTCTTATACTGTAGCCCAGGCTAGCCTTGAGCTAATCCTCCCACTCTCCTAGTGCTGGGGGGGAGGGGTTACAAATTTAGCTTTCACTCTTTTTCTTTTTTCTTGAGTTGGGAATCTTGTGATGTAGCCCTGGCTGACCTTGAACTCAGAGATCTACCTGCCTCTACCTCCTAGGAATTCTGAGAATAAAGAGCACTGTAACCAACATCTTTTTTTTTTTTTTAAAGATTTTATTTATGTTTTTGTGTGTGCATACTACGTGTATGTCAGTACCTGCAAAAGCCGGATGAGGTGAGATTCCTTGAAGCTGGAGTGCTGGGATTAAAGGCATGCATCACCACCAACCAGCCATTTTCCACTCTTTGTGTGTGTGTGTGTGTGGTTAGAATTCTTTTTTTATTATTATTTTTATTTTATTACTTTATAAATAATACCATTTAAAACTTCTACTTTCTCCCCTCCTCCCACTTCACTTCCTCTACCCACTCCTCCTCCCCCTCCAGTCCTAAGAGAGGGCAGGGTACCCTGCCCTGTGGGAAATCCAAGGCCCTCTCCCCCTCTATCCAGGCTTAGGAAGGTGTGCAACCAAATAGAATAAGATCCCACATTTTCCACTCTTGATTCCTCCCCCACCCACCCCCAAAAATTTTATGGAACCTTGTATATAAAGTAGATAGATAATACAAGTCAAACATTTGGTGATAAATCATAAATTTGCTTTAAAAATAATCTCTGGTATTTATATGCTTTTAGCATTTAGTATACAAATTTGCCTACTAATGAATATACTTTTTAAAATTTTTTTAAAGATATTTATTTATTAAGTATACAGTGTTCCGCCTGCATGTGTGCCTTCATGCCAGAAGAGGGCACCAGATCCCATTATAGATGGTTGCAAACCATCATGTGGTTCCTGGGAATTGAACTCAGGACCTCTGGAAGAGCAGCCAGTGCTCTTAACCTCTGAGCCGTCTCTCCAGTCCCAGATACACTTACTTTAATATAAATATTTAAATCTTGGCTGAATATTTGATTCTGCAAAATGTATTTTTTGAGAATTGACCCATATCTTGATTTTATAGTTGTTGGTGAGGAAAATATCTCCTTACACTAGTATGTAGTACAAAATAGCAGATAATTTAGGTCCATTTCAGAAACCAAAGTTTAATCTCAAAACAAAAGATTAGATTATGAAACAAGGTATTAGGCTAGTCTAGAATGATCTGACTGTAGCTGAGGAAGACCTTGAACTGAGTCTCTTCAATCCCTAATAGGCAAGTACTAACTTGTGCATGCTGGGCAAACACTGTCCCCTGAACTAGTATAAGAAAAGTTTTTACAGTAAGAACGTACAATGGACTTGAGTGTGAGGAATCTGGAAAGATTGACATTATGTGGTGGTACATTTGAGCCTGAACTAATTTTTGGTTGTTGAACATTCAGAAATGTGTTTCTGTTGTAAAATTTTTTTGCTCTCTTGACATTTCGGGTAATTGACTCCATCGTTGAAACTTTGGTCTGTAGAAAGACATTAGGTCCTGTTTACAGGCACATAGCTACATCTGAGAACTTGGAAAGCTGAAACAGGGATTGGGAATTTGAGAAACCCTGAAACTACATTGCAAGAATTGTTTGTGGTAGTATTATCCTTAGTGAAAAATTAGTAAGTTTGTTTAGCCTTGGGGAAAATGATTCAGAAAATACTAGTGTATCAACATGGGGACTGTAATAGTCGATTGAAATAAGGTCAGCGTATCAGAAGGAAAACTTCAGAAAATATGATAGAGAAAAAACAAAAAAACACATGTACAATGTAAATAAAAGCAAGAGCATTGTCTGTAATGCTTGCAAGGATACAGAGGAATGTAGAAAAATGAAATAGTTATGATTGCTTAATGAAAGTTTGTGTTTTTGTTACTTTTTTAAAGATCTATTGGTATGAATATTTTGTCTGCATCGTGTATGTGTCTTCAAAGTCAAGGAAAGCACATCAGACCCCGGAACTGGAGTTACTCACGGGTGCTGGGAACTGAGCTCAGCCTTTATTTATTTATTTTGGTTTTCTGAGACAGGGTTTCTTTGTGGGACAGTCGTGACTGTCCTGGAACTCACTCGGTAGACCAGGCTGTCCTTGAACTCACAGAGATCCACCTGCCTCTGCCTCCCAAGTGCTATGCCACCACCACTGGGCTCCCAGGTCCCTTAAAAAAACACCAACTGCTCTTAACCTCCGAACCATCACTGCAACCCCAAGAGGAAGGTTTTTATAGTTAATTTTGTAGCAGTTTAGTTTTTATTATACAAAAGAATGCATTTCACTGGGGTCTGGAGAGATGGCTCAGAGGGTAAGGGCACTAGCTGCTCTTCCAGAGGTTCCGAGTTCAATTCCCAGCAACCACATGGTGGCTCACAACCATCTGTAATGTAATGAGACCTGGTGCCTTCCTTGCCAGCAGTACATTGTATGCTTAATAAATAAATCTTTAAAAAAAAAAGAATGCATTTCACAATAGCATTCTCATACATGTGTATAGTAAATTTTGATCATATTCAAGTGTTTTGTTTTTTAATTTGTTTGAGACAAGGTCTCACTGCATAGACCAAGCTGGTCTTGAGTTTATGTAGATATGTCCCTGCCTCCCTAATGCTGGGATTAAAGATTTGCATCACTTTGTCATGCTCAAACATTTGAAATAATAAATTCTTAAAAGAAAACGGGGCAGTGAATATTGGGTTTTGAGTTTCATTTTGTTTAGGCTATGTCAGAAGGATAATCTTGATTGGAGGAGGAGTGGAAGAAAAATTGAATAATCAGCAGCTGTGTGCTTAAGGACTTGTAGGCAGACATGGATGCTTGACTATTTTGATTTGCAAATATACAGTATCAACTTTTTATGTATTATTGTTTTGGATTTTGTATTCGTCTTTTTTTAGGAGCCCCAAAAAAATGAACCCAAAGAAAAAAACCAGAAAAGGTATGATTTGGACAAAGAAGAAAAATACCGAAAAGAGCTAAAGGGCATAAAATGTAAGTATAAAAATTTTTATGTTCATTGCATTGTTTAAGAAATTATTGAGCTGGGTGGTAGTAGTGCACATCTTTAATCTCAGCACTCGGGAGACAGAGGCAGGTGGATCTCCATGAGTTTGAGGTCAGCCTGGTTTACAGAGTGAGTTCCAGGACAGCCAGGAAACTGTCTCAAAATACATACATACATTCAATTACTGATTTTATATGTATGTGTGTGTCTGGGTGTGTGTGTGTGTGTGTGTGTGCGCGCGCACATGTGAAAGCAGGAATCCTTGAGTGTTATAAGAGGGCACTGGATCTCTTGGAACTGGAGTTATGGATGATTGTGAGCCACTATGTCAGTGCTGGGAATCCATGGGGTCCTTTGCAAGGGCAATAAATACTCTTAACTGCATAGCCATATCTCTGTTTCATCTTCTATATAAAGAACTTAGTTTACCCTGAAGATTATCTCTTTTCTACCCTGTAATGTTATAAAATTTTGTTCTTTGGGGAATTTAGAGCTTTATACTCCATTTAATAACTTAGTTTAGAGCCGGGCAGTGGTGGCGCACGCCTTTAATCCCAGCATTTGGGAGGCAGAGGCAGTCAGATCTCTGAATTCAAGACCAGCCCAGTCTACAGAGTGAGTTCCAGGATAGCTGAAACTATATTGAAAAACCCTTTTTTTATTTTAAAGGTTGAGTGTCCCTTCTCTGAAATATTTGGAGCAAAAAAAGTTCCTGATTCTTCATTCTAGTTCAGTGATATTTATATGTACATATAAATAGATTTCTTATGAATGAACCCAAATCTAAATCCAAATTTGGTTTTATATGTACATTATATACAGTCTGAAAATAATTTTGTGACATATTTTTAGTGTTCCAGTGTTTTTGTGTCCTGTTAAGAAATTAAGAATGAAATTTTCTATTTGTAGATTAATATTGGTACTCAAATTTAATTTGGGGGGTATTGGGGATTTCTCTAGTATTTGGTGTGTATGTCTGTGGTATAGGCAGGTCTGTGGTGTTTGCCCCATGCACTCACAGGCTGAGGAGGACATGGGGTTACTGTTGCATCCCTCCACCTCTCCTACCAGGGTCTCCCTTTCACTGAGAATGGGGTGAGTTGCCAGTCAGCCAGCCCCAGCAATCGACTTATCCACACCCCACATAGTTCTAGAGTTTCAGACACAGCATACCCAGGTTTGTTTTTTGTTTTTTGTTTTTTTTTTTAAAGCTGGGAGATGTGAACTCAGGTCTCATGATTGTACACAGGCCTTCTTGCACCTTATGCCATCTCTTCAGCTCTCCTGATTTCACATGTTTTGCTTCTTTCAAGGTTAACCTCAAACTCAGAGCCCTGCCTATCAACCTCTGCAACTGGGATTAAAGGGCTACATTACCACACCTGGCCAGCCACACACACTTTTAATTCCCCCTTTCATCCCAGGCTAGAGGTTGTCTGCATCTCCAATTGTAAAAGCAGATTTTATCTTAGGTCTAGACTCAAGACATGACAGTATTAATGCTGTTACCTTAGTGGCTCATATATAAAGTAACAGTAAGGACTGCATCTATTTTGAACAATACAGGAAACACCACTTTTTAGAGATTTGTTGGGGATTCAAAATACTATCAAATTAATATCTGAACAAGATGTCCAGGTGAATGCTGCTGCTCATGTGTTCTGAACTAGTCAGTCTTCCATGATTGTGACAAAGGAAATCTCAGCAACCCTAGCTCACCCCACCTTTCCTCCTGGCAAAGGCATCAGCTCTTGTATGCCTGTCCTGGAGCCGTGTAGAAGTTCGTGCTAAATGGGGAAAAGTGCATGGTGTAAGAACACTGACCATGCGCCTGATAATGCCACCAAATTCTACCAGCTTTGAACTAAAACAGAAATGGAAGGAAAACTGGGTAGATCAGTGGTGAGTGTGCTTAGCATTCAAAGGTCCTGAGTTCTCTCCTGAATACCAAAGTGGGCATGGGGGTGGGGCAGAAAAAATATGAAAGCACTAGATAATTTGGAAGGGCTATTATAAGTATTGATTACATAGGTTTATACTAACAGGAATATTGGAAACCAGACTCATTAGTCCACAAACATGAAATAGAGAGTTTTATTTAAGGCAAAAAAAATGCCCTTGAAATTGGCATAAAAGATGAAGGGTCTTGCGGGAGCGGTGGTGGTGCACACCTTTAGCCCCAGCACTTGGGACGCAGAGACAGGCAGGTTTCTGGGTTTGAGGTCTACAGAACTAGTTCCAGAACAAGCTCCAAAGCTACAGAGAAACCCTGCCTTTAAAAATTAATTAATTAATTAGAGGTCTGGTATGATAGAGTGTGTCCAGTTTGTACAGGGAATCCCCTGCCTGCTGTAGGAATTCCTAACCAAGTTATTGATTATATAAGACTTAAACTCATTAGTATAGGGTAATTATTGAACATTTATTAAAATTTATTTTAATAAACATTTATTAATGTTTATTTAATAAACATTTATTAATGTTTCTTGCTTGATATAGTTGTCCTTATTGTATATGATTTTGTATTAGGCTTATAACTCTCTTATTTAAACAAAAGGGAGGTGCTGTACTGGCTGCCGCCAGTAGCTGTTAAGTTACCCGCCCACTGGGCGTGTCCTCTTACATTATTTATGCCGTGTAAAGTGCGCGTCAGGGCTCTTTTCTGGATGTGGATTTCGGTTGCTGTTCTCTGTTCCAGCAGAGGATTGTGACTTGTGAGTTTACCCCTAAATAAATGACCCTCTATTATTCTCAATTCTGAGCTAGTGTGGGATTTCTTTTAAGCGGTCTTCTTCACCCGCCTGACCCCCCCCCCCCCATGCAGGAAGGAAGGATATAAGTCACTCAAGCAAATTTGAGTATACCTTTGTCATAGCTTTCTGGGTACTGAGCAGCCAGCAAAAAGACTAGTTAAAATGATTTTCTGACTGTAAATCTTACTTTGCTTTATAACTAAGGCAAGTATTCATAATAACTACAGAAAATACATTCACTCAAATTGAATGCAGATTTTTTTTCTTTTGATTGTAACAAATTCGCAACTCACAGTTAACCATTGGCTTTAATTTTGGCACTAGCATTTAAGGAAATCAGAAGTGCATTCGATTTATTTAAAAAAACAGAAGACAAAAACGATGTTGAGAATAATTGGAAAAGAGAAGAAATACCGTTGGATTATAAAACTACGGATGATCATAAAACCAAGGACAAGTGTTTACTTAAAGAAAGAAGAAATACTAGAGATGAGACCGACACTTGGGCATACATTGCTGCAGAAGGGGATCAGGAAGTTTCAGACAGTGTATGCCAAACGGATGAGAATTCTGGTGAGTTTGCTTGGCATTGTTAAATAGAGTGACTTTTTTAGTTGTGCCCCATACTTTTCTCTCAGAATAAGGATTTTATTTGGATCTCCTGAATACCTTCTAATATTGAAGACTCAGGTCATTCTTTGATATCTAAATGCATCAAATATTTTCTATTTTCCAGCTTAATGTTTTTATTTTTGTTAAAGAAAAACTATCTTTTCATTTTACATCAATCCCAGTTCCCACTCCATTCCCTTCACCTCCTCCCTCCTTCCCCATCCACTCCTCAGAGAGGGTAAGGCACATTGCTTTGAGGAAGGTCCAGCTTTTTTTTTTTTTTTTTTTTTTGCGAGACAGAGTTTCTCTGTAGCTTTTGGTGCCTGTCCTAGAATTAGCTCTTGTAGACCAGGCTGGCCTCAAACTCACAGAGATGAGCCTGCCTCTGCCTCCTGAGTGATGGGATTAAAGGGGTGTACCACCACTGCCAGGCCTCCAGCTTAATTTTTTTTTATTTCTTTTTATTGATATTTATTGAGCTCTACATTTTTCTCTTCTCCCCTCCCTGCCTCTCTCCTCCCTCCTTCAATTCTTCCCCAAGGTCACCATGCTCCCAATTTACTCAGGAGATCTTGTCTTTTTATACTTTCTACTTCCCATGTAGGTGAGATCTATGTAAATCTCTCTTAGTGTCCACATTGTTGTCTAAGTTCTCTGGGATTGTGGTTTGTAGGCTGGCTTTCTTTGTTTTATGTTTAAAAACCACCTATGAGTGAGTACATGTGATAATTGTCTTTCTGTGTCTGGGTTACCTCACTCAAAATAATGTTTTCTAGCTCCATCCATTTTCCTGCAAAATTCAAGCTGTCATTTTTTTCTGCTGTGTAGTACTCCACTGTGTAAATGTACTACATTTTCCTTATCCATTCTTTGGTCAAGGGGCATTTAGGTTGTTTCCAGGTTCTGGCTATGATAAACAAAGCTGCTATGAACATAGTTGAGCACATGTCCTTGTGACACGATTGAGCATCCTTTGGATATATACCCAAAAGTGGTATTACTGGGTCTTGAGGAAGATTGTTTCCTAATTTTCTGAGAAATCACCACACTGACATCCAAAGGGGTTGTACCAGCTTGCATTCCCACCAGCAATGCAGAAGTGGTCCCTTTTCCCCACAACCTCTCCAGCATAAGTTGTCCTCGGTGTTTTTGATCTTGGCCATTCTTACAGGTGTAAGATGGAATCTCAGAGTTGTTTTGGTTTGCATTTCTCTGATGACTAAGGATATTGAACATTTCCTTAAGTATCTTTCAGCCATTTTAGATTCCTCTGTTGAGAGTTCTCTGTTTAGGTCTGTACTCCATTTTTTTAATTGAATTATGTGATCTTTTGGTGTCCAATTTCTTGAGTTCTTTGTATATTTTGGAGATCAGCCCTGTCTGATGTGGGACTAGTGAAGATCTTTTCCCATTCTGTAGGTTGTCGTTTTGTTGACCGTGTCCTTTGCTTTACAGAAGCTTTTCAGTTTCAGGAGGTCCCATTTATTGTTTCTCTCAGCACACACACACTTTTATGTTTAGAAAAAAAAACTGTCCCATTTCAAACTAAATAAGGATGTACTTTTTTTTTGTGATGAGAAGCCCAGCCCCTCCCACCTCCACACAGGGACCAACCCTGACCTTGAGCAGGAGATAAGCTACAAAACAGAGTTCTGCTCCTGCAGTGTGACAGGTGGAGATTTGTTGTTGTTTCTGGGTGACCTGGCAGAGTCAAAAGGAGTCAGGTCCCCAACAGGATGGAGCACAAGTCTTTAGCCAGGGGTTCTCAAATCAGAGAAAGCCACCAGTCAATCCAGGAAAACAGAACTGACAGAAACTCATAGAAAGACACACAGACACAGCAAAGACAACCAGGGGCGGCCACCACACTTTCACACACCTTACAAACCAGGCGGTGGTGACACACACCTTTAATCCCAGTAGCCCCTCTAGTTTGCCATAGAAACTGGGCAGTAGTGGTACGTTGCGTTTTGTTTTTCAAGACAGGGTTTCTTGCTGGGTGGTGGTGGCGCATGCCTGTAATCCCAGCACTGGGAGGCAGAGGCAGGCGGATCTCTGAGTTTGAGGCCAGCCTGGTCTATAAGGGCTAGTTCCAGGACAGACACCAAAAGCTACAGAGAAACCCTGTCTTGAAAATCCAAAAAAAGAGACAGGGTTTCTCTTTGTATTCTTAGCTGTTCTGGAACTCCATCTGTAGATCAGCCCAGCCTTGAACTAACAAATATCCTCCTGCCTTTGCCCGAGCGCTAGGATTAAAGGTGTGCACCACCACCACACTGCCTTTTTTTTTCCTTGAAGACAAGGTCTTGCTGTGTTGCTCTGATTTACTTTGTAGAACTAGGTTAGCCTCAAACCTGTGACAATCCTACTTCTGCCTCCTGAATGTTGGGATTACAAACATGCACCACCATACCTGGCTAGCTGTGTTTTATTGTTTCTTGAGACATTCTCACACTGAAGTCCAAGTTATGCTTACCATAGATAGCCTTACCGCCTCAGTTTTCAAGGCTGGGATTCTAGGTGTGAGCCACCAGTCTGCTCTGGTTTTTATTTTATTAAAGTAACGTGTATACCGATCAGGTCTGTGCTACAGTGTAAGGGTTGAATATGTGTCTTCTAGTGTTCAGGAGCCTGAGGACCATTAGCTATAGGAGTAGACTGTCAGTAGACACTGAGATATGGGACCTTATTGCCTGCCCTGTAAGAGCATATGATTTACAGGAAGGGAAGCATCATAACATTGTTTGCATTTGCATACAGACTAGTTTATACATAAAGACTGACCTTTTGTAAATGGTTAGAAGCAATGTGTATCTAAAAAGAATGGCCAAATAGGAAAACTTGTAAGAAACCTGGGCTATAGCTTAGTTGGTAGAGTGCTTGCACAGCATGTAAAAACTGGAACTAGATATGCCTACCATTTTACCCAGTTGGGTGTATACCCAAAGGATTTTATGTCTAACAGATATATTTGCACATCTGTGTTCCTTGCCTCTCAATTCATGGTAGCTAGGAAGTGGAATCAACCTAGATGTCCATCAACTGTTGAAGGGATAATGAAAATGTGGTACATCCACATTTTAGAATGAAATTTGTAAATAGGCTGAACTAGAAAAAAATACACTGGGTGAAGTCATATAGCCCCCAGAAGACAATGCTACATGTTCTCTTTCATAATGAGAGCCCTAGCTTCAAAGCTTTTTGGAAGTTTATTATAGGGCACATGTAGAAGTTAGCGAAGTAGAAACAGGCCCTTAGTGGATGGCTACATTTCAGGAAAAGATAGAAGAATACAGGTGAAATAAAATTAAAAAGGGAGAAAACTGACGTGAAAACAGTTGGAGTAGATAGTGGAGTGATGGGGGTGGTGAAATCTTAAAGATGCTGCTTGGGATCCTGTGACTTTGCAATTCAGGTAGAATACAAGAGGTATAGTAGAGCATGTGTGGTATGAAAAGACACAGGAGCACTGTGAGCTAAGGGGTAAACTGAGGTGTGGGGCAGGGAGAGGGCAGAAGGAGTGAGTGTGAGTTAACCAAAACAAGGAATGTATGAACAAACATGAAATTCCACTAACTTGTGAGCTCATTTTTAAAGGAAAAAAAAAAATTTAATCCAGGCTGTGGTGCTGTGCGCCTTTAATTCCAGCACTTGGGAGGCAGAGGCACACAGATCTCTGAGTTCCAGGACAGCTGAGACTACATTTAAATGTAGTATAAATAAAAGTTTGTTTGAAATGTGACAAGTTTAATAATCAGGTTTATGGCTTTATGGGGGTTTTTTTAAAAATAGTACTCCATAGGGTTATATGCTAATGATGCTTTCTGTATTTCTGTATTCCAGATGGCAGGCAACAGATTTTGAGTTTGGGTATGGACCTGCAGTTGGAGTGGATGAAATTAGAAGATTTTCAAAAGCACCTTAATGGGGAAGATGAGACTTTTACCACAACAAATATGATTCCAAGTAGTGAGTGATTTGCAAATTATTTGGCAGTTGCACAAATCTAGATTCATAAGATCTAATGCACCTTCCTTTTCGTCATAGATTTGTTGAGGGATGCTGTGAAAAATGGAGATTATATTGCTGTGAAGGTTGCACTGAACTCAAATGAGGAATACAACTTGGATCAAGAGGTACTTTGTTCGTGGGGGGGCGTGTCTTGGTCTTACAAAGAAGCATAGAAAGTAGTTCTCGCACGGTTCAGTTATTTTCCTAGAAAAGTACATACATGTTCACATTTTAAAGGTTGATCACTCTATAGACCGTGGAAATGTACATTAGAATTCCTGAAATTCCAGTTCTCTAAAATGGCTGGTTTAAGTAGTACATTATTTAATTTTTTGTTTTGTTTTGTTTTTGTTTTTCGAGGCAGGGTTTCTCTGTAGCTTTGGATCCTGTCGTGGAACTAGTCCTGTAGACCAGGCTGGTCTCGAACTCACAGAGATCTGCCTACCTCTGCCTCCTGAGTGCTGGGATTAAAGGCATGTGCCACCATCACCCTTTTTGATATATTATTTTATAACTTTTTAAGTGTCTCATCTCTAGACAAAGATTATATGATTATATTCTCATAGTTTTTCTTTAAAGATATGTTTTTTAATTTTTAAAATCTTTCATTAACCTTTTTTATTGACTTTTTTGGGCGGGGGGATATTTTTTAAATTTTTCAATCCGTTGGTAGAAGTATAGGTTACCCTCAGTCCCTTTTTTTGTTCTTTGTTTTTTGTTGTTTTTTGAGACAGGGTTTCTCTATGTAACTCTCTATGTCCTGTAACTCATTTGTAGACCAGGCTGACCTCAAACTCATAGAAATCCACCTGCCTCTTCCTCCCAAATGCTGGGATTAAAGGTGAGTGCCACCACTGCCTGACGCCTTCAATCAATTAAAGTTTTTTTTTTTTAAGCCAGGGCCATGTAAACAGGCCTTGTATAACCGACGACCAACACCTGATCCTCTTACCTTTACCTCCGGAGTGTTTAGATTATGCTTACGACACTCACTAATGAAATTTTTTCTCTAATCATTTTAAATAGTGCTTTGGATTTTATAGGTAGAGAACTAAGCATCTTCCTCAAAATTTGCCATTCATTTTATATCAAGAAAATTTGATATAGAATTTATTATAGCAAATTTATTTAATTTTTGAAAATATTTATATATATGTTTGTGTATGTATATGTGTTTTTATGTATATGGATGTTTTGCCTGTTCACCAAAAGAGGATATCAGATCCCCTGGACAACAGTTATAGATAGTTGCTAGCTGCTGTGTGGGTGCTGGGAATTGAACTCAAGACCTCAGAAAGAGCAGCCAGTACACTTACCTGCTGAACCATCCCTGCAGACATTAATTAGTTTCAGTGTGTGTGCCTAAGTGTATGTCTGTGCATCATGTGCATGTAGGAGCTGCAGAGGCCACAGGAGGAGTCAGATGGTTGTGAGCTGCAATGTAGATGCTGGGAATTGAAATAAGTCTTCTGTAAGAGCAACAAGTGCTCACTGAGTCTTCTCTTCAACCCCTTTATTTTTTCCTCCTTTGGCCCTGGCTGCCCTAAAATTAAATGTTTATATATTTCAGGTTGGCTACAAATTTGCAGAAATCCTTCTGCCTTTGCCTTCAAAGTTACATGAGCCACCATACTTGCTTCCTTATATAGGGTGGCTATGCAATTTAATGGCAACATTTATTTTATTTTATTTTTAATTTTTTTTAAATTTAAAAATTAATTTTTAAATTAAAAAACTATCTTCTCATTTTGCTGGCCGAATCCATTTCCCAATCCCTTCCTTCTTCCTGCTCCCTCCTATTTATTTATTTTATTTATTTATTCATTTATTTATTTATTTATTTTTGGGGCAGGATCTCACTGTACATCCCTCACAGGCCTGAATCTCAGAGAGATCCATTTGCCTCTGCCTTGAGTATTGGGGTTAAGGTACATCACCATGTCTGACAGCAGCCTTTATCTTTCTTAATTCTAAGAGCTAGGGAGACATTAATGTATAAAAGGCTTGCCATCAAGTGTGAGGACCCAAGTTTGATCTCCAGAATCCATATAAAGCCAGGCTCAGTAGCTTGCATCTGTGATCCCAGTGCTCCTAAGGCAGAATAGGAAGTAGAGACAGGAGAAATTCTGCTGTATGTAGTAGTGCACAAGAATCGACTTTGCCTTTTTTTTTTTTTTTAAACAATCTTTTCTCATTTTACGTATCAGTCACAGTTCCCACTCCCTTCCTTCCTCCCGGTCCCTCCATCCCACCCCCATCCAATCCTCAGAGAGAGTGAGGCTTCCTGCCATGGGGAATCAACAAAGTCTGGCATATCACTTTGAGGCAGGATCAAGGCTCCCCCTCTCCTGCCGCCATATTGAGGCTGGGCAAGGAATCCCTCCATAGCAAATAGACTCTGAAAAGCCAGTTCGTGCACTAGGGATAAATCCTGGTCCCGCTGCCAGTGGCCCCACAAACTGCCCAAACCACACAAATGCCACCCACATTCAGATGGCCTAGTTTGATCTTATGCTGGTTCCCCCGCTGTCAGTCCAGAGTCAGTGGAAGATCTTGCTTTTAACAAGGTAAAAGGCAAGGGCCTAGTTTGACCTCTTGATCTCCACTTATGTACAGTCCTTATGCCCACACATGTCATACACATCACACACACATACACATTTTTAAAATTATAGGGCTGGGATATGGCTCACTCAGAAAAGCGCTTGTCACACATGCATGGAGTTTGGGTTCCTGACACATGTATATAAAGAGCTGGGTCAGCAGCACCTATCTGGGAGGCAGAGATAGTTATAGCCCTTGGGCTTGCCAACCAGTCCATGTAGCTGAATTAGTGAGGCTTGAATTTGATGAGAAACTGTAGTAAGGCGGAGCAAGCCGTGGCCTGGCTAGCCTAACCCTCGAAATAACCACGCAGAACTTGTATTAATTAAATTACTGCTTGGCCCATAAGCTCTAGCCTCTTATTGGCTAACTCTCAAATCTTGATTCAACCCATTTCTAATAATCTGTATGTCACCACGAAGTCGTGGCTTACAGGGAAAGATTCAGCATGTCTGACCTGACAGCTTCATGGCGGCTCAGCTCTATCTGCTGCTTTCTTCCTCCCAGAATACAGTTCTGTCTTCTCCCACCTAAGTTCTGCCCTATCAGGCCAAGCAGTTTCTTTATTGATTAACCAATGAAAGCAACACAAATACTGAAAGACCTCCTACACCATTTCCCCTTTTTCTGTTTAAACAAAAAGGAAGGCTTTAACTTTAACATAGTAAAATTACATATAACAAAACAGTTATCAAGCAAGAATTACAGTTACAATATTTATATCTATTTTATCTTTTATCATAACAATGGAAAACTATATCTATTCTTCAACTCCATCAAAGGCTCCAGAAGGATATAATATTACCTAAGTTAACAGAGAGTACTTTGTAAGCAGCTTCCAAAACTCTAGAAATTACAGAGACATCTTGTTGCCTGGACAGTCACCCGAAGTTATTCTGTACCGTTGGGGCATCCATCTTCAGCTTACAGGCCCATAGTATCCAGCAGACTTTTCCATGAAGCAGAAAACTTCGAAGACAGTTCAGTCACTTTCTTTTGTGTCCTGCAGAATGTCTCACAGACTCTTTCGTGAAACAGAAACCCCAAAGGATCATCTCACCTTTAGGTTCAGCAGTTCTCTCTCTGCGGGTTTTTCATGTCCAGTTTATGCAACAGTCCAGGCAAGAGCAGTTTCTTGTCGAAATGGCTAACCAACTCCATAAGGAGCCTCTTTGATGCCCATCTTCCTCTTGAAGTAGATTGGTGCTGCCAGGAGCAGACATGTCTCATTGTCAGGAAAAGCCCTAAGTTATTAAAACATTAGATGCCATATTCTGTAGTCTTTGAAAGATATGAAGAATGCCTATCTTACTGAAATATATCTCTATATATCTAGAAAATCTAACTAACATGACTACAAGCTTGACTATTATTGATGATTATCCATTAACAACCTATATTTCCTAATTATACATTACATTTTTAAATGAACTACACAATCACAACACCTTAATCAAGATTAGAAATATGCATATAACAAAATTGACCTTAAATTAGTGAACCAAGATTCATATCAATGCAAATTATTCATATCTATATCAAGAAACCCTGTTTCAGTAAAAAATAAATAAGGTGGAGAGGGGGCTGGAGAGATAGCTCAGTGACTTAAGTGTATACTTGCAGAGTTCTCAGCACACATGTTGGATGGCTCACATAGCCTGTAACGACAGCTCCAGGAGATCTGATGCCTTCTGACATGCGCATAACCCCACAGAGATATACAGGCATTAAGGTGGCAAGCCTTTGAGGAAAACAGTGGCCTTTATGCATGTTTGAACATATGCACATGTACATCTCCCCCTCTGAACACACATACAGAAATCCTGAAGATGATTAGTTTCTGATGATTTATAGAATATTTTAGTAAGCAACCTTACCTAAGTGGATGCTTAAATTAATGTACTTAAGTGATTTCTCATTGAAATATCTTGACAGCAGAGACTTGTGTGTAAAATGTTTCTGATTATAGAATATGTGGTTTCTCCTTAACAAACTCGCAGGATTCTAGCGGGATGACCCTGCTGATGTTGGCTGCAGCAGGAGGACAGGACGACCTGCTGAGGCTCCTTATCACCAAAGGTGCAAAAGTGAATGGGCGCCAGAAAAACGGGACTACAGCCCTCATTCATGCTGCTGAGAAGGTTTGAGACCTGACTGCATGAAGGGACACTGAGAATCTGTTTTTGTAGTTAAATAATCGTCATAACATAGCCTTACTGTGTGACTTCAGTGGGTCTGTGACATGTGAATTAAATTTTGACATTAGCAGTACTTTGTAATCAGATTTAGAATACAACTTACCTGGGTGGTAATTTATGAGTACAGTTCCTAGTTATACTGACAGTGTACTTTAAAGAATTCTTGGAATTAAATTTGTTTTTTGTCTTTTTAATAGAATTTTTTAACCACTGTGGCTATTCTTTTGGAAGCTGGAGCTTTTGTAAATGTCCAGCAAAGCAATGGAGAGACTGCGCTCATGAAAGTAAGTCTTAGTTTGTTTGACCTGGGTACTCATGTTGGCACTGCAGACTGGGAGAAGCATAGAACAGGGTAGTCCCTGGAATTCAGCAGAGCGGTAGAATATGGTGGGGTCAGTAATGTACTGGAAGAAGCTCAGTCTAAAGGACCCAGCAACAGTCATGGGGTGAAGGTGGTAGGCATTGAGTCAGCAAAAGAAATGTATCAGCACTAGTCGGGAATGGAAGGAACTGTGGGTGTTTCAGTGATTGAGAACTCTGCTAGAAGCAGATGGTGTTGAGAGGCAGATAGAGCCAGGATTGCACAGAGTTTAATACTATAAATCTCTAATAAGAGATTTATAGATAGGTGTCTTTTGTGGTCTCCGGACAAGACAGAAGGAAGAGTTTGTCTGCTAAGCTAGGTTTTTCCTAGAAGCAATTATTATGTCCAGTGCCAGTTAAGAAAAATGACATCAGAAGTCCATACATGTAACATGAGGGGCTGGCTTGTTGGGGTTTCTGTCCTGCCCAGTACCCCACAGCCAGCAATTCCCAAAGAAAATAACACAGAGTCTACATTAGGTTATAAACTGATTGGCCCATTAGATCAGACTACTTATTAGTTCTTATGACTTATCTTAACCCATTATTCTAATCTATGTTAGCCATACAGCTCAGTACCTTTCTCAGCTGGGCAAGTTACATGCTGCCTCTTCGGTGGTCTGCTCAGGAGTGGCGGAGAGACTTCCTCCTTCCTGGAATACTCCTGTTCTCATTGCCCCGCCTCTACTTCCTGTCTGGTTGACCCACCTATACTTCCTGCCTGGCCAATCAGCGTTTTATTAAAATACATGATTGACAGAATACAGATAATTCTCCCGCACCACATACACATTCAGCTGAATCTAGCAGAAATTGGGAATACAACCAGGATCCCTGTAGTCACATAAAAGGTTGCCCAACACCCATCTTCACAGGGTTAGAAGCCTGGGAAGAGGAAAGGACTATGATGTGCTCTTATTATTTTGTATTTGGTGAGTCCACACCCTTTGAAATTGTGGCTTGCAGATAAATTTTGAGTTGAAGATTGTTGAGTCTTCCTGCTGCTGCCAGCCACCCTGCTTGTGCCCTTCTTTGAGTGGTAGGTTGTGTGTACCTCACTGACCTTGGTCCAGAGTGGCTCCTTCCTCTGCAGTAGCTCCCGGTCTCTGGCTCCTAGTTTTGTTAGGACTCAGTGGAACCAGGTGTCCCTAGGTGACTGTCTTCTCTTTCCTGAGGTGTATTTTTGCATAAGCTGTGTTCTAAGTAGGGATTTGTCTACAGTTTCACATTCCACTCTGTCAGGTATGAGTAATGAGTCGGATTGTAGTACAACCCCAGGCTTATCCTGTGTTCTAATAACCTGGGTTCTTTATTTCTCTTGGGCCGCCTACCAGACCCTTAAGGACTTGGTCATTGCTTTGTGAGCCCCTCCTAAACCTGATTTGGGTGGTATACATAGTCCTTTTATTTGGGAGTCTGAGCTTGTGTCTTTAGTCTTCAGAGTACTGTCTTACTGAGAAACTACTAGACAGCAGACACTTGCATCTCAGTAGAAGAAAGAACACAGGAAGGGGGAGTACAGTATTCTACAGGATCATCAGGATTGGGGGTGTTCCTGAGGGCACAGGTCCGGCTTGGTTTGGGAGGGAGAGGGATTCAAGAGAGACATGTAGGAAGGTTCCTGGCGTAACTGAAATAATATTAGTCTATTATTAGTGACAGGGATCATGTGAGCAGTTCTCCAGTGTTTTTAGGGGTAGAATTTGCAGGTGTCAGCTGATTTTCCTGAGTTAGGAGCTCTGGCAGCCAGAGGCAAGCAGCAGCTGGGGTGGGATTGTAGATGGAAATCTAGAGAATCAGGACATTTGTCCTGGGGACTGACTGCTTCTCCTTGCTGAAACCTATAGTTTACTTCTTCTGTGCTGTCCTGTTACTAATGCTGGTTAAGACCTGGCTGCAGCTGTCTTTCTTCCCTTTCCTGTATTATGCTTTGCCCTCTTGAAAAAGAGCTGCCAGAAGTGTGTGGAGAAAACTACCCACCCCAATTGAAGTTACGCTGGCTTAAAATGAAAAATTGCCACTCTTCTTTTCTGATCTAGGCATGTAAAAGAGGAAATTCAGACATTGTGCGCCTGGTGATTGAATGTGGAGCTGACTGCAATATTTTGTCAAAGCACCAAAATAGTGCATTGTACTTTGCAAAACAGTGTAACAATGTGCTTGTGTACGAACTGCTGAAGAGCCATTTGGAAACGTAAGTGTCAGGAGAATGTGCCATGGTTAAGTCAGAGTGAGATAATGTTGAGGATATCATTTTTGGAATAGTTTGTGTAGAAAAATGTTTAAAAAAGATAATCCTCTTGGATTTCTCTCCTCAGTAGATCATGCATTTCATAATTGGCATATTTATTAGGTGCATATTTGTGCAGGTTACTAAAATCTTAGAAATCCCTGGGACCATTTTCTTAAGATGGTAAATCTAGGAATGGAGCTGTAGCTCGGTAAAATGCATTTAGGAGGTTAGGGCAAGAAGAGTTTTTGCCCACATAGTTGGTTCATGGCCAGACTTGACTATGTAAGACTCTTTCTTTCTCAAAAAAGTTGTCTACTCTTAATTTGACTAACATCTTCATGTGCACATGTGTTAGAGAGGGAGGAGTGTGCATGTGGAGACTAGAAGTTGACATCTGTGTCTTCTCAACAGCTCTCTACCCAAGTGCATTATTTTTCAAGTGCATTTGGAACCATATTTTGTTTCAAGTTTATGTCTTTATCAGTGAAGAATTCTTTTGATGGGCTGAGTTGTGATTCTGTGAGCTTTTGCCTAGCATATGCTAAAGCCTATGGTTCCATTCCTAGTACCACCTAAAACCAAAATTTTTTGGCAATGCTTGCCAAAACACTGCTTCGTTTTCACCCTGGTTCCTGGTGAGACAGCCTGGAAAAAAAAAAACAGCCCATTGCCTTCTGAGCTTGAAAACTAGGCACCATATATTCTAAACAAAAAGTAAACTAAATTCTAGGCAAGGGACTGAGTTGCATCTTGACCTAGTGTGTATACTTGACAGCCTGTTTCCCATAAAGAATCCCTGGAGGCCAGTTCATCCCCACTCCACCCGCTGCTTTTTGTTTGTTTTTTTAATTTTTTTCTGAACATATGGGTAAATGCAAAGAACCTGTCAGGGAGGTGCCCAGCCATCTTCCTTTGCTCAGGACTGAGGGACTCTCATTTCTAGTTTTTCATTCATACATCAGCCAATTGCAAAGTGAATTTTGTCCCAGACAGTCTCAAAGGCCAGTATTATGGAGAAGACTGAGTAAAAGTTGCCCTTGTGCAACTCCTGTTTGATGAAAAGGAAATTTAAAGGCACTGTCATGAGAGGAGAACTGCGTGGGGCCAGAGTTGTTGTTCCTTCTCACAAAGGTTCTGCTGGGCTGTGTGGTTCAGGTATAATCCAGATATTCAGGCAGCTAAAGTATAAGGATTCCCAGTTGAAGCGCTCCGTCGTCTACAGAGTGTGTTTGAGGAGAGGCTGGAGATGTAGGTAGCGGAGTAAGAGTGCTCGCTGCACTCCCACGTGGTTCCCTTCACACCCCTCACCTCTGCACTGTGAGACAGTGGAGACAAGAGGCTGCTGGGGTCTCTGGCTGCCAGCCTAACTGGATAGTGAGCCCTAGGTTCAGAGAGCAAGCTGCTTCAGAGCGGTAAAGGATGAGACAGCATTGTCCTCTGGCCTAACCACTTCACACACAAGCAAGCACACAACACAAAATCAGAGAAGCAGTTTGTAAAAGTGAAGTCAGGGCTAGCGGTGTAGCTTAGTGGTAAAGCACTTGTTTTAGCCAGCACCTCGGTACTACAAAAAAATAAAATTAAAAAGTTAAAAAAGTAAAGCTGAGTGGTGGTGGCTCACGACTTTAATCCCAGCACTCAGGAGACAGAGACAGACAGATCTCTGAGTTCAGGGCCAGGCTGTTCTACAGTGAGTTCCAGGACAGCTAAGGATGTACAGAGAAGCCCTGTCCCAAAAAAATAAAAGTGAAGAAGCAAAGTTAGTGGGAAAGCTTTATGGGCATTATACATCATGAATACATCCTTTGGTGGTTTCCTTCTGCAGAGGGGTAAAGGGAAGGCAGGATCTTATGTATTCTAGTCTAGTTTCAGACTCACTGTAGCTGAGGATGGAGGATGGCTTCTGACCTTCCTTGACTTCCTCCTAAGTACCAGGACTATAGATGCATACCATCACACCTGGCTTATGTGGCGCTAGTGATCTTACCCTGGGTTTCACACTGAGCTACATCTGCAACCCCTAATGTATGTATTTTAAACTTGAATTTTACAGTGGGATACAATGTTAAAATGATATAGTATACAAAGTGTAATGATCAAGGTAGCTGGAGTTTAATTAGTTAATAGTTAATTTGTGTGGTACAGTGTAATAATTCAGTATACCTACATTAACAGTTAAGATAGGGTCTCACTCTAGCCCAGGGTGACCTCAAACTCATGGCATATATCTGAGTTCTGAGTCACCATACCCAACTATTAGCAGTCTCTGTCTTTTCTCACTAGTCTTTCAAGAGTTGCAGAAGAAACAATCAGAGATTACTTTGAATCTCGCCTTACTTTGTTGGAAGCTGTTTTCCCAATAGCTTGTCATCGACTCTGCGAGGGACCAGATTTCTCAACAGATTTCAATTACAAGCCTCCTCAAAACATACCAGAAGGTAAGTATATGCTCCCCTTCAAACTTGAGTGTTTGAAGCTATAGTTTGTAAAGATGAGTTTATTCCTAAGTAGACCTTTACTTTAAAGGAACTTTTTAGCAGAACCCACTGTGATAGCTGGCAGAGCTGCTCTGGCAGGAGGCCTCTCCATCCCACTTTACCTACCCACCGGAGTCCTCTTTCAAATGGTAGGAGTTGGTTCTTGATAACTGTTTAATTGTTTATTAAGTCTAACTAAAAGTTAACTTCACAATGCTATGCCTAGAACCTTTTTTTTTCCTCCTAAATTTTGTCTACTGGGTTTCCCTTGTTTTCTTTTTTCTGTTGTTTTTATTGTGCTTATGAGACAGGGTCTCACTGTGTAGTACTTGTCGGCCTGGAACTTGCTATGTAGTCAAGATAGCCTTAAACTCAAGAGATCCACTTGCCTCAACCTCCTGTGTGCTGGGATTAAAGATATGCCCTACCATGCCTGACTTGGGTTTTGCTTGTTTATTTTTTAATAGGCTTGTTCCAATACTCCTGTCTTGGCCTTCTGAGAGCTAGGATTATAGACATGAACCATCATCTGGCTTAACTAAAAAAAAAAAAAAAAAAAAAAAAAAAAAAAAAAAAAAAAAAAAAAAACAAAAAAAAAAAAAAAAAAAAAAAAAAAAAAAAAAAAAAAAAAAAAAAACATGGGGATTGTGTGTCAACAATGAGTCCTGTCTCCCCTCCCATTGGAATTAATGACAGAGCTATAAGCAGTTAATGATGCCTAGAGAATCATACTCCTCAGTAGGGGAGCTGCTAGTAATTGCCCTTGATTAAGTGAATAACCCAGCCATGCTCATGTAGGCAACCTTAACTAAATATAGTGGCCATCAAAAACAAAATAGTTCAGCAACGGTGCCTTTAATCCCAACACTCAGAAGCAGGTGCATCTCTGAGTTTGAGGTCAGCTTGATCTACAGCACGAGTTCCATAACAGCCAGAACTGTTACATAAAGAGACCCCATCTCGCAAAAGCAAAAAAAAAACAAAAACAAAAACAAAAAAATGGAGGACGACCTTTTGAGAAGCAGTTTGCTTGGTGGGGAGGGGAAAAGAGGGTAATGATGGATAGAATATGAGCAGAGTATATTAGATGAAAATATGAAGTTGTGAAAGGATAAATAAAGCAGAAGGGCCGACCCAAGTTCAATCACCAGAATCCACGTAGTAGAAGAGAACCTATTCCTAAGGACTAGCCTCTGTCTTCCACGTTTGTACCACGGCACATTCAAGGGAGGGCAGATCACCTTATCTCTCCCTTTAAGTGGGAAATAGGGCGCCGGCTTATGCCCCCAAGCCTGATGACCTGAATTTGATCCCTAAATTCCACATGGTAGAGAGAATCAACTCCCAAAGTTGTCCTCTTGCTGGCCTCCAAACATGTGCTATGTGAGTGATTGCAGAGAATAAAAAGTTTTGGATTTTTTTTAAGCATTGATATAAACTACATCATAATGTATTTATGAAGACATGCATTTGAAGACTTCTAGGAACTAAAACAGATTTTTGCACATGTATTTATTATTCAGGTGTTATCCTAGGACACTTTTAAGTTACACATATTTGTGCACATGTGTGCAAGCGTGCATTCGTGCCATGGTGCATGGGATCCTAGGGTGGGACTTGTGGTCAGGCATGGTGGGTAAGTGTCCTTTAACTGTCGCACACAAACACCATCTTTCCTTCCTTCCTTTTTTTTTAATTTATGTTCTTCACTGTTCTGCCATGCGTGTCTGGTCCCCTGGAACTGGAGTTACAGACAGTTGTGAGCTGCCATGTGGGTGCTGGGAACTGAACCCGGGCCCTCTGGAAGAGCACCCAGTGCTCTCAACTGCTGAGCCATATCTCCAGCTTCCTTGTTCATTACATTTTTGTTTGTATGTGGGTGTGCTAATACCAGAATGCGTGTGCAAGTGAGAACAGTTCTGGGGAATTGGTTCTCTCCTTTCATCGTGCGGGTTCTTTGGGAGTGAAAACGTGGTCAGGTTTGGCAGCAGGTGCCTTTACTCACTTGGCTGTCTCTCCAGCCACCTTAGCCCTTGTGAGGCGCCTTGGCAGGGTGTTTGCTTATTGTGCAAAATACCTGAGCTTGGTCCCCAGCATAACATAAACTGGGTTTAGTGGCATATCCCAATAATCCCAGCACTCAGGAGGCGAAGAGGCAAGTTTATCTATTTGGACAGTAGTGAATTTGAATCTATCCTGTACTACTTGAAATCCTGTGTAGTATTTATTATACCATAAGTCAAAGACAGCCAATTGCTGCCTCATTGGCTAATGAATTTGGTTTAGTTTTGTATTTAGAGATAGGCTTTCTCTATGTAGCCTAGACTTGTCTTACTCCTGACAGTTCTCCTTCCTTGGCCTAAGTATTGGGCTTAGAGCACACAATACCCAGTGCACACCTAGGCGGTGTGCATTGAAGGGAAGGGGCATTTGGCTTGATGTTACCATAGGTAGGTAGGTAGATATAGATGGATGATAGATAGATATGCACACACTCATTTTGTTAACTTATCAATTGACATCAATGGACATGTCTTATTTCCACCTTATGCTGCTGTAAATGGCCCTGATAGATCTGAACCAACAACACCTACATAATTATTTTTTGTTTTGCTTTTCCTTACTTGCATGAACCAGAAATCTTATTATTCTTCTGAAAAAAATTTTATGGCACTCCATGCTTTCTAAGAATAGGATACAGCTTAGCTTTCACAAGTCCCTCGGTTCATTTCCATGTACCACCAAAACAAAAACTCTTTAATGATAATGTAAGTGAAGTAAAACTTTATACTCCTGGAGAGGATTTTGATTCCTGAAAACTTTAACCAGTGAACTGGTTAATTAGGTTACATGCATTTCCATCTCCTAAACCATCTTGCTGGTTCCCCCAAGTTTGTTTTTTTTGTAGTGTTGGGGATAAGACTTGGAGTGTTGTGCATGTTACATATAGAGATGCTTGCACACCAAGCCTAATGGCTTATACTTGATTCTGGGAGCCCACACGATAGGAGAGATCTAGCTCGCATAGGTTGTCCTAACTACATTGATGTCAAACTATGTAAATTTTTTTGTTGTGAAGACATAGTAACTGAAGCCAGAGCAGTTGAGAGTGGTTGCTTCTCTTGCAGAGGACCTGGGTTCAGCTTCTAGCAACCACATGACAGCTCACACCTCTAACTTCAATTCCAGGGTTTCTGAATCTCCTCCTGGTCTCTGCAGGCAGCAGCTGCAGAGACACATGCACACGAAATACTAATTTCAGTAGGAAAAAAAACACACACACAAAAAAAAACCACGAACGTCTCTTCCCTGGTGGTTGCTTGGACAAGAAGTCAAGTTCTGTGGTTTGAAAACTGTAGGATAAAGTGCAGGTGTTTAGAGTAGGAGTCTTCTCAGGCTTCTGTATGAGTGGCAGGAGGACCTACCAGGGACCTTCTACTGTCGGCAGGGATGACCTCACCCACACTGATAATCTTTTCTACTCATCCTTCTTCAGGCTCTGGTGTCCTGCTCTTTATTTTCCATGCAAACTTTTTGGGTAAAGACGTTATTGCTCGGCTCTGTGGACCATGCAGCGTACAAGCTGTAGTTTTAAATGATAAATTTCAACTTCCTGTTTTTCTGGTAAGATTTTCTGTAGTTAATTGAAAATTGTGATCAAGTCATGTGACTTTACGTTTTCTTAAAGTCTTTAATATCTCTTGGTGCTTTAAGTGCCTTGGTATGGGTGTGCACACCGTACATACACACAGATGCGCATACATACAAAAGATGTTCATTTTCATAATAGTGACACTCGGACAACTCCCAATTTTTATAACAGAAAATTATCAAAATTTTGTTTCTAAGTACTTAAATTCACTTTAATGCCACTAATATATATATGGTCCTAGAACCAATATTCTGAGAATAAATTCTTAGTCCTGAGACCTTTTACATGAGGCCAGAATAAAATGGTTCTGTTTATGCCTGCTACCTAATGTATAGTTCTTTTGACATAAAGGAATGCCTTTTGGTGTGTTTCGGTTTGCTTTGGTTGAAATCAAGCTACCAACAAACCTTCAATTCCTGATACTCTTTTACATGATTGCTTAATTCTGGTGTCATGTCACATATGTGCACCATCACTCCTAACTTAAAATTTTACATTTTGCCAAACTTGAGGGTGGGATGTGGGAGACTTGAGTGGGTAAGAACATTTGTGTACCTGCATGTCACAGTGGGTGAGGACAGATGCCAAGTGATTGGCTGGCCAGCCTGATCAGTGAGAGGTCATGTTTCATGGCATTAAGGCAGAAGGTGATAAAATTTTTGACACCACATTCAGCACATTTAAAAAAGCAAACAACCCTAACCAGAAGCTGAGCCATCAAGTCTGAGGCCAGTCTGGGCTACACAGGGAAATCCTGTCCCAAAACGTAAAAAGAAAGAAAAAACCCTCAGTTTACTGGTTTCCACTGTAAAAGGTTCTAGGGTTTGCAGATGTCAGAGATGTGAGTCTGACTTTTATTTTCTCTTTCCCTCTAGGATAGTCACTTTGTTTACTCGTTCAGCCCTGTCGCCGGCCCCAATAAGTTGTTTATAAGGTTGACGGAATCACCCTTTGCCAAGGTGAAAATCTTTGCTTCATATTTAGGGTAACTGCTCAGGTTGTCAGTGCTCAGGGTCCAGACGAATCTAGGGCAGGGATGTTGGCTCTCTGAGGGCATCCCTGTAGAACATTCCAGTCCTGACTTGAGTACTAATCTGCCATTATGGCTAGGCACGATCTCCTTATGAAAGGAAGCTGGATTTTTTTTTTTAATACAGCCACTTTTTAACTAAAAATAGCAACTCAATATTCTTACAAGGTGGGAGCTTTCATGTGTACTAACACTCATTTTCTTTTTAGGTCAAGTTGTTAATAGGTGCATACAGAGTGCAGCTGCACTGACCTGAGGACTGAGACCAGATCTGTCTTTGAAACAGTGTGGAATCCTGGCGCATCTGAAATGTTCAAATATAGTTTCCCCTATAAACTTGCAATTTAGGCCTGTTTGTTGCCTGGTAAGGACAACAGGGCCTTTATAAATACATAGTCTATATGTGTTTGTGCCATTGTTCGAATGTTCGATGTTCTGCATAGTTTATTTCCACAGTGTGGAACAGTACATATGAGAACTATTTAATTAAAAGCTTTTGAACTTGAAATTTTCTACTAGTCTTTTGAGTAGTCTTTGAAAAAAACAGATTCAAGCTGGGCTATGGTGGCTCCTGGCTAACTAGTTCAGGGTCAGCCATGCCTACCCATAGCATGCACCCTTTCCTAACAATTCATTACTATGCAACTAAAATGAATTGGATACTCTTGGAGATGGGGAGTCAGCTGCAGTCACAGCATGGAAGCAGGAGAGCTTACTGTGCATTGCTTTGTACAGTGAATACACTGACCAAAGTGAAGAAAAGGAGGCAAGGAAGAAGCTCAAGGACATGTTTGGCTACATATGAGTTGGAAACTTAACCGAGAACCTGTCTGAACAAAATAAAAAATCCTGAGTTGTAGAAATATGTCTTATGGCAAATTGCTGGGCCATTCAGGTCTTTTTTTTTTCCCCCAAAGCCTGTGACCTGTAAGACACAAAACTTCCATCAGTAAATAGGAATGTCATACATGTACACACAGGCATTGTTTAGACAAGCTCTTCCTACAGAATACCTGCTGGCTCCATCCTATAATCCTGCTTCAGGATTATAGGCATGTCCTACCAGGCCTGGGTCACCTTGTATTATTTGTCTGTGTGCTTTTTAAGAGGTTTCAGCCCACCGGGCAGTGGTGGCTCAGTCTTGAATCCTAGCATTCAGGAGGCAGAGGCAGGTAGTTAGTTCTCTGTGAGTTCGAGGACAGCCAAGGCTAAAAAGAGAAACCCTGGGAGAGTAGGGAAAGATTTCAGCCCTAAAGAAAATAATTTGTTGAACTAGACTCACCAAGCCTTGAGCAGTCAATACATTTTTACCTGTGTAGATCTTCTCAAATCCAGTGGCTCTATATACAATATACCTTTTTATTTGAGCCCTGTCTCTCTTGGAATTCACTATGCAGACCAAACTGTCCTCAAATTAAGAGAATCTGCCTGTCTCCAAGTGCACCACCAAGCCCTGTCCAAGGTTGTGCCAACTCTTACACTCACCATACCCAATGAAATGGCATTTTCCTAGTTTGTGATGAGAGTAGACTCATGCCACTTTTGTTATATTTAAAAGTACATCAGACAGTAATTTAGCTTCCTTTATGTTCTTTCTGTATTTCTTTTCTATGTTTCCTTTTAATCTATACTATAAAGCAGGTGCTTTAATGACAAGACCACTTACAAGCTTTAAAAAAAAAATGTATTTTATCCCTCTTTGAAGGCTACATAGGCCATGCTGTGGTGGCACAAGCCTTTCTTTGATCCTTTTGTGTCCTGCATGTAGTTGCTTCTTAGGTCTCAGGCAACACCCTCCCTGCTGGTCAACAGCACCACACCTGCAACAGACAAAACAGGACAGGAACAAGAGAAAACACTATCAGGGGTTTTGCCACAACACTATAAAAATCTTATATTGTTAGCATAGCAAAACAGGAAATAGGATTCTTTCCTAAGCAGATGGGAGAAGAAAGGAACCGTCATTCCTAGCATACATTTTACAACATTTCTAAAATCATACTTTTCAAAGGAACCTAAGGGAAATGTCATAAATCTGGGGCTGCGAGGAGCTCTGAAGCCAGTGGGTGGAGCAGCATGACCAAGCTTGTACCTGAGCAGCGATCCTGCAGACAAGTGCATGCCTTCAGACAAATCTGTTCCAAGAGACTATGGAATTTCCTGCCACAAATGAGAGAAATCTGAATCAGCTTATGCAAGACCCTTCTCTTCTCTAGACCTCACCTACTCGGGCTTCACAGTGCTATTTCACGAACACTAGAGCAGAGCTCCTGAACTGCAGCTTTCTACCTGGCAATGAGAAGGCCCTGGCCCTATCTGCTCTGAACCCAAAGTCTGGACTCATTCCCCAAGGTCAAGGACAGAGATGATTGTGGAGAAGCAGGGCAGACATTGGAGAGAGCCAGTATTGCTAATATCAAAGCGAACATTCGCCAGCCAGCCATTTCAAGAATTAACAATGTGGGGGTGCTTCCGCCAAGGTCTCCAAGGAGCCCCAACCAGTGGTTAATCTAGCTTGACAGTGAGATGCGTTTGGGGCCACACAGAGAAATTTCTGTACTGAACTTTGTTATATGCAGCAACACAGAAAAATCTTTAATCCAAAGAAGAAAACCTACGTATGTATGTACTGATTTCTGGAAGGAAGACACCTGTTGTTTTCTTTCTCTCTCTTCCTTCCTCCCTCCCTCCCTCCTCCCGCCCTCTCTTTGAAATAAGGTCTCCCTATGTGCAGACCTGGCAATCCTGGAACATACACATACATACACATTCCCCCTTATTTCTCTTGCTCCAGTATACCTCAAAACTACACACATTATACACGAAAGAATGCAAGAAGGCAATCAAGAGCGTAAAAGATCCTTTCTCAAAGACACAGCATGCAAGCATTGCCTCACGAACACAGGTGGCATTATAAGGCTTTAGCTCAAACTCTAAACTGTCTTCCAACAACAAAACATTGGGCCTGGTGGTGTGGCACGTACCTTTAATCCCAGCATTAGCAGGTGGAGGCAGATGAACTTGAGGCCAGATTGGTTTCAGACTTCCAGGCCAGCTAGGGCTACATAGAAAGATACTGTCACAACCAAAAGAGAAAAAAAAGGAAACACTAGAACTCTGACTGGGGCTGTAAGCTCTGGGTTCAAAGCCAGAGGACCACCAGGTAAAATGGCTGGGTAGTGGTGGAGCATGCCTTTAATCCCAGCACACTGGAGGGAGAAGCAGAGGATTTCTTGGTTTCGAGGTCAACCTGATCTACAGAATGAGTTTCAGGCCATCCAAGGCTTCACACAGAGAAACCCTGTCTCGAAAACAAAGAGTTGTACATCCCTGTTGCCCCAGCACTCTGCTGCCTGAGGTAAAGGAATTAAGAGATGAAAAGAATACCCTGGTAAGAGGCTGGCTGCTCTTCCAGAAAGCCCAGGATTGATCCCCAGCACCAACACGATGGCTCACAATTGCCTGCAACTCAGTTCCCTCAGTGCCCTCTTCTGGCATCTGTAGGTACAGGGCACACATGGTACACAAAACACTCATACACAAAAATGGAAGAAAAGTTGTAGACTAGTTTGGACTACATAGTAGGTTACATAATAAGACTGTCTCAAACTAGTCAAACACCAATGCTGACTATTATCTATGCCAAAGTACAATCCACGGGGAAGTGCCCTTCTAAACAACTGCCACCTAACCGAATGTAGCAGTGAGCCCAGCATACCTGGCTTTAAGCTCTTCTACATTAGACCATTGTCTGGAATTTCAGCAGTTTCATGTGGTCTTAACAACCTAGGAATAGAAAAATAAGATTTTAGCCATTTAAAAATCAGACCTTATAACCAGTCTCTTAAAAGTTCCCAACAGTAATCAAGACTTCAATAAAACACCACATGGTGCTGTATGGCCTACTTTTATTTTGAAAAATTATTTTTATTCAGAGAGTAATTTCTCTGATCCAGAATAATCTCTATTTCCATAAAGAATACTTAAGATTCAGATTTCCTACCATGGCACTAAACTTTATAAACCTTAAACTCTATAAACCTTAATACCTCTTTATAAACCTTAATACCTCTAAAAGGTATTCAAATATATTAACAATTGTAAATTTTTATGGACATTTATTTTGTGTGAAGGCATGCTACAACAACACAGGTCAGAAGACAACCTCTGGGAGGACATTCTCCTCCACCATGTCAGTTCCAGAGATCAAAGTCAGACAGTCAGGGGCAGGCGCCTTTACCCACAGAACCGTCTTGACAGTCCACTTAAAAGAAAAGGAAAGCCCGCCTTTAATCCCAGCACTCAGGAGACACAGGCAGGCGGATCTCTGAGTTTGAGGACAGCCTGGTCTACAAAGTGACTTCCAAGACAGGCTCCAAAGCCTCAGAGAAACCCTGTCTCTGGAAAACTAAAAGGAAAAAAAAAAAAAAAACAGAAAAGCTTTTTTAAATCAAGCCATCATCATCATAGTTCCCTTTCACAGATAACTGGTCCCTTTACACAACTCTAAAGCCTTGTTATCGGAGCTGAAGAGATGGCTCCAATGTTAAGAGCTGCTGAAATCTGGGGTTTGAATACCAGCATCAATATGGTTGCTCATAAATGAATGTAAATTCCAGTTCTAGAGGATCCAACACCTGCTGGCCTCAGTGGGCACCAGGCACATGTGAACTGTCAACAGTCAGGCAGAACACACATTTTAAAAACTGATAAACTTTCTGTGCTTGTACCAAGGTCAGCTACAGCTATTGTGCTCCATCAAGAGTCCCCCTCGGGACACTTTAGGTATTGTACTCCATAGAGCATGAAACATGCAATTACAATCTGCTCCTTGCAAAAAATGTTTCGATAACATGCTGGGATCATGAATAAAGTGGGACACAATAGCACTGTAATAATCACAAATATCAGATTTAGGTTCAGTTTTCCTTTGTTTTGAGATAGGGTTTCTCTGTGCAGCCCTGGCTGTCCTAGATCTAGCTTTGTAGACCAGGCTGGCCTTGAACTCAGAAATCTGCCTCTGCCTCCCTGAGTGCTAGGATTAAAGACATAGGCCACACCTCACCCTGTTTCCTTCTATTAAAAAAGAGTTTTATGTTGTTTACTTCATAAATAGATTAACACTTTAGACAGATAACAGTCCATGGGAAAAAAATCATTATTTGACTAGAAATCTCTTAGGAATTTTGTCTCTCTTTTTTTATTTCCAAAGATTTAGGTATGTAGGGGTGTGTGTGTGTGTGTGTATGTGTGTAGATGTGGAGGGAGAGAGACTGAATATAAAAGGTTCAGTTTTAAGTTAGGAGAGTTAAGTTTTAAGTTATATAAGCACAGAAAACCAGACCTCTCCCTAAACCAGGAGTGTTTTGAAAGTACGGCTTAAATCTTACGCCTGACGTAAGGAATACTGTCCCAAATTCAAATCTGGATGAAATATTCATTTTTAAAGGCCTTACAAAGTTATGCACATGCTTAATGGGGATCCACAGAACTGCTGTGTACTTTAATGCTTTATAGAAACCAAGCTTTTGTTATAAAACCTTATAATTTTTTAAAGTGTGCCATAAATCAAATCAAACCACTGTATTGGTCAAGTGTGAGTGTCAGTATTCCGGCGTCTGTACTGCGCTGCCCTTGAGGTCCTGACAGCTGTCCTGAGCTGCAGCCACTAAGAGCACCGCCTGTGCACACTATGTTCCCTTCTAAAAGGGCCCTGTCCACCTCCCATCTCTATCTGTTCCTTTCTCTCTCCATCTCTGCCTGTCTGTCTCCCTCCTGCCCTCTCTGCCTCTTTTCCCTCTTCACTAATAAAACCCTCCACACGAGTTCTTTCTGTTGCATGTCGTCTTTCTCGTGTCATCTTTAAATTACGACAGTAGGAAGGAGAATCTCTAAGGACACAAAGATTTTAAAAGGAGCCTTTTATATACTCAGACACACAGTCCCGTCCATAATCCTATGATTGCAAGAATATTAAAGACGCCTTACTTCCAGGAAAAGGCCCCCTCTCTACAAATGCATCACTCCCCAGGCCTGAGGGGTAGAAAATAACCCTTCCCCACAGCCCAATACTAGGCAGGCTGTTATTCAAATCATATGTGAATGGTAAAAACTCAACAGTACTTAAAGGCAAACAATGAAAAATTCTTGCTATAAAGTAACCCAAAGAAAAGGTGACATTTCCTGATGTCTCTAGTTTCTTATTAAGAATGACTTTCCAACAGAATGCTTCCTTTTCAACAGCAGGGATTCTTTCCCAAGAAATACATGTTTAGGTCTTAGGTTTTAAGGCTGGGGGGCTCTGTTAGTAAATATGACAGGAGAGCCCATGAAGACTAGGTAGGCCTCACTATCAATTATGGCCCTTTCCATTGTAACAGAAAATTCAGGCTACTAGGGCAGTAAAGTAAGAGTAGGATAAGATATTTTATAGGGGAAATTTATCTTTTCCTGTCATATTTATGATTAAATGTTTGTGTACCTCTTGTCCCATTAAAGGTTACAGGTAATGGTGTGATCAAAGAAATGTTAGGCTTGCAAATACATAAAATGTAATAATATATAAATTGATGTCATCAAATACGACTTTGTTTTCTAGGACAGATATTATGTATTTCATGCGGGCTCTACATTATGTAGATGAAGATGACCCTGAACTGATCTTCCTTCCTCCAACTTTCCACGTGCTGGAATTACAGGAATTACAGGTGGTTAATATAGGAATTATCCACCTCAAAGCAAAGATAAATTCCCAGGTTTGGGTCATCAGACTTGAACATAAGCCGGGGCAGTGATGAATTTGAGGCAACTGCCCTGCCCCAGCCTCCAGAGAAGATATCATACACCAGATACAGGGAGAGCTGCTCCTGGGGCCTCAAGTCTATCACTGAGCACCACATCCTGCTCGCTCTTCTTTTTTTGGAGACAAGTAGACGTCTAAGTTGCCCAAATTACCCCTGCACTAGCTCAGTAGCATGGCAGGATTGACTCTGTGATCCACCCGCCTCAGCAAGCTGGGCTTACAGGGCTGCAGCACCATGCCCAGAACTACGGGTCATTTCAAAAACAAAAATCCAGCACCACCTGTGTAGTCAAAGTAACATACAGTCACTGAAAATCATCAGAGTGAATCAGGTTTGGCTGGACTACACTGACTGTAATTTTTTGCTTTTAGAAACAGAACTCCACAATGAAAGCTAGGCTGGCCTGGAGCTGAAGCTCCTGACATGCCTCTGAGTGCTGGAATTAATAATGGGCACAGCATCCCTGAACCAGTAAACTCATTTAGTTTAAGGAAGAATATGAACTTAGATAAAGAGCTGCATGGTTTTCTTTAAAAGTTAAATTTTCAAGTAGATTATTGCCATCCCCAAGAGGTCAGCCAATATTTCATTTGTCAACCATGCTAATAAAAGGCACTGGAGGGTTGGACAGACAGCTCAATGGTTAAGAGCACTTAATTGCTCTAGAGGACCTGGGGTTCAGTTTTCAGCACCCACACGGCAGCTCTAGCTCCAGGGGACCTTGTTTTGGCCTCCTTGGCACCAGAAACCTATGTGATGCACATACATACATGCAGGTAATGTAAATGACGTAAAATGAAAATAAAATTTTTTCATTAAAAATGTTAAAGGCGCCAGACATGGTGGTGGCACAGGCCTTTAATTCTAGCACTTGGGAATGAGAAATAGGCAGACCTCTTTGAGTCCGAGGGCAGGCTGGTATACAGAGCAAGTTCCAGGCCAGGTTCCAAAGCCACACTAGAAACCCTGTCTCCTAAAACAAAACCAAAAACCAAAACAACAACAAAAATTTAATTCGACGGGGAGCTAGAAGGGAAAACACTCACAACCCAATGCTAGAGCGAGGACAGAACTGCTAAGAGCAGAGCAGAGCAGGGCTGAGGAAATAAGCCTGAGGTTTCACCCACTCCAAACTCTTTCTCTTCTTAGATGAAGTGACCACAAAACAAACCCAGACAGACAAAAACTACAAAGGATCTCAAGGTTAACAGCAACCATCTCATTTCTCACTTGGGTTTCCTTTCTCTGCAGGACCCCCAACCCATTTCTCCTTGTCTAGGGGAGCAGGTCCAAGGCTCTTTAGTACCTTCTAGGCCTAGATTTTCTGTTTTAAGTTTTGGGGACAGTTTCATTACGCAGTTCAGTTTTGTCTAAGTTTCACAATCATCCTCCAGAAGACATCACTTTATTTTTAAATTTGGTTTTGAGGACAGGGTTTCCTGCAGCTTTGGAGCCTGTCTTGGAACTCCCTCCACAGACTGCCTGTCTCTACCTCCGAGTGCTAGGATTAAAGGCACGTGCCACCACGGCCACCCAACTCCACTTTGTTCTTGAAGACAGGCACTAACTACTCTGTTTCAGGCTGGCCTGGCACTCAGTGATACACCTACCTCTGCCTGCCTTCCAAGTGCTAGGATTAAAGGGGCCCACAACCACACCTGGCTTATTTCCAAATTAATGCTGGGCCCATTTTGTCTTCCATCCCTTGTCACGATCTTCCACATCGCTGCTGCCACCTCTCACCCTCTTGCTTTTCATCCTGGCCTTCTTCCAGTTTATTCTCCAGAAATAACGACCTAAAATACAAACTGGCCCACACCCAGTGTTTTCTCATCTCTCAGGCAAAATCATCACAAATATCTCCAGTGACAAGGAGGTGGATTATACTTTGAGCAGGAGTAGGTGGGAGTAAAATGTCTTATTCGAACCACATATACAAACCAGCTCACAAGCAGTGATTTGGGTTGTCAACTTCATTACATGGGAGCAAATTAGAAAAGAAACATCTAAAGAGGCTTCCATGATGAGAATGACCAAGAGCTTTGGAAATGCTTTGCCAATATCTCTACTGATCTTAGGTTCTAAACTGGTTGGAATAATAGAGAATAAAAAAATCCCATCAGTTAGAATAGACATCAAAAGGAATTTATGACCCAAATAACTAAGTCGCTCCACTGTTTATTCTATGAACAATTTCGCACAACACATGCCCACATATGGTAGAACGGGGGCACACATAACTGTTCCAAAGACCTTTTGAGTATATAAGACAGCCTATCATGAGGTCTGAAATAAGTTTAAAATATTGCAGAGAAATAATGTACAATATGTGTGTCATATGTATGTCCTGAAATTTATCAAGTGTCCTATGCCTGCATGAAAACTTATGGAATACACAGAAGACCAGTAATGCTACCCCTGAATAGTGAGGTAGGGAGGCCAGCAGACAGGAACTAGTTATGTGGCATTCTATACCTAACTTATGAACAAAGTTAGTCTACTCTGATTTTTAGTTTCCTCATGCTGAAAACTAACTCATCAAAAACAAGAGCATGTATTATAAACACACCATCTGGAGCACACTGTGAGCAGCTGCAGTTTTCTGAGGGAAGGTCTTCCATGGATCCAAGTAAACACAGCCTCAACACGGTGCCACGTTTTTACATGCATGTTTATTGAACATGTCAGCACTGTTCAGCTACAAACATTTTACCAGCAAGTGATCAGTCTCACCTTTTATTCCCCCCTCCTTTTTGGCTTTTCAAGACAGTGTTTGTGTAGTCCTGGCTGTAGACGAGGCTGGCCTCCAACTCAGAGATGCACCTACCTCTGCATCATAAACGCTGGGATTAAAGGAGTGTGCCACCACAGCCCAGTGTGTCTCACCTTTTCATTATCGTCAGCTACCTTTTGAAATTCTGTTTAACTATGTATATGTGTCCGGGTATATTTGTATACATGAATGCACTTCCCAGAGGGGACAAAAAGGTTTGCTGGATCGTCAGAAGCTGGTTGTGAGATTGCAGACATGGGTGCTGCGAACTGAACAGGGGTCCTCTGCTAGAGTAGCACGTACTCTTCACCACTGAGCCATTTCTCTAGCCCAATTGCTACGTCTTTTACTAATGACAATAAGAGAAGGTATTTTTCCCTAAGCATCAATTTTTATGTGGTAAATACTTTTAAATGTTGCAAGAACCTTCCATCATGACATTGATTCTAATTATCATAATTTGACTTAAAAAAGCCAAACATCAGCCCTTCCCTTTCTTTCCCATAGACTCCCAACAGGCAACTAACCAAAGTCCTAACCATAATTCAGTAATAATTAATCCACAGGTCTTCTGTGTTGCTTGGGCTCCAATCTTTGTGCATGCTCCCATATGTTCTACCCTGTACCAACTGGCAGATGTTGACTTCTCTACTCTCAGCCCATAAAGCCTTAATTCTTCTCTGCTTGGACTGTAAGGCGCTTCAAATTGAAATCAATCCAAGTAGCAAGTTATCTTAAAACCAAATCCAAATGCCTTTAATATTTTTACATTCATGTTGGGTTAGTGTATACAATGCAAATTGTGAAAATCAGAGATCTGGGAAGTCAGTTCTTTCCTTCCACCATGGGGGTCACAGAGATCAGGCTTAAGGCTTAGCACCAAACTGGCTCTGAACTCTTGCCATGCCTTCCTCCCAAGCTGCTGGGACTAGAGGCACAAATCACAACGCAAGACTTAACCAGCATGAATACCCTGCCAAGAATCTCAATAACTCTTAAATAGATCTACAGTCCCAGTCTGACTTTCTACAGCCTTGTACCTACTTCCCAGGTCCCAACATGTCTTATGAGATGCTATCTGGTCATATATATATATGTATATATATATATATATAGTTCCTTTTATTGCTTCATCAGAGTGGCCTAACAGCCCCAAATATTTCTATTAAATTAATGTTTACTTCACATTAAACATCCAATGGCACACTGCGTGGAAATGTTTTGGATCCTACAATTTTTAGTAGAATTCAGGGATGTTTGTATATGTATAGTAAGTGGGTTTTGTTTTTGTTGATTAGATAGGGCTTCACTATGTAGCCCTGGGGCTACCCTAAAGTCCACTGTGTAGATCAGGCTGGAATTAATTGATCTACTGGAGCTTGCTGCCACAGTCAGCAAATGACAGATCTAGGAAAAGCGATTCCTGCAGGTTTTACATACGAAGGAAGCAATGCATAGCATTCTGATGCCCCTGCTTTAACTGTTAGCCCTCAGTTAGGTGGGATTTCTACTTGTGGCATCATGCCAATGGCCTCAAGTTTCAGATTTCGAAGCTTTTAGATTTCAGACTTCCAAGAAAGGTTTAACTTCTAACTCATGACCATGTACCTTGCATTCCCAATACTAGGACAAGGTACATGCCAACACTCTTAACTCTAAATCACTTTAACAAGGTAGTCAAATTATTTTGAAGGACCCCAAACTCTGTATTATTCCTATATATATTAATACCTAGTTGATTTTGTTTTTGACTGTGATGGTCAAAAGAACTATGGAAGGACAAATAAAAACAAAAGCAAAAACAAAATGAGCCAACCATTCCAGCAGTCAAGTGGCCTAACTGAACCAGCATTAATGTGGCCAAAAGTACTTCTATCCCAGAGGAGCATTCCTGGAACTCCAGCTGTTCTAGATAAAAGCAGCTCAGAACTGAGTAGAACAGGCAGGCCTGCCTGTAGACGGGAGACTGCGAGAGGTTAAGAACCAGAAAGGATAGTAAAAATGGCATAGGGTATTAGGGAAATAGTAAAAACATTGAGTTTCTATACAAAACAATATATTAAGTTTGTAATACTCCACAGAGCTAATAATTGTCTCTCCAAACCTGTTCCCTGTTTACTCTGGTATACAAGGATAAAATATTTAACCATCATTTTATTAAATGTATTAAAATATAATTCTCACATATTATGTATGGCTATGTAGAACAAACTGGTTTTAGCTAATTTGAGTCCACTCATTTCTGTGGAAAAGCACTAAAAAGATATAAAACCAGTGGAACTTGCAGATGATCACAATATATCAGCAATATAACCTGAAAAGTTCCAAATTCCTTTGCAAATACCACGAGGTACCCCCACCACCTGAAGTGTAAAGGATGGACCCTGCTGTGGGTCCTGTAGCATGTGCACACTGTAGCATGTGTCAGCTTACTGTGGAATGCAGAGCAGGCACTAAGATGACTTTACAAATGAAGACCAAACAAGTGATGAATACTCCATAAAGAAAACTGTCAATACATATCATAAAAAACCTGACATCTTATAAAACACTAAAAATTGTTATAAAAGCTCATTTTTAGTAATTTTTAAAGTATGAACAACCACCCAGTGAATAGTACCAGGCATTAGCTGGGGTTTAGCACCACCTAATCCAGTGGCCACTGTTAAGGAAGCAGGCATGTGAAACGCCAAGGAAATCTGGTGACTTGAATTCTTCAAAGCATTTTTGGTTTGTTTTGGTTTTTTTGTTTGTTTGTTTTTGTTTTTGAGAAATGCAGGGTTTCTCTGTGTAGTCTTGGCTGTCTTAGAACTCACTTTATACACCAGGTTGGCCTCGAACTCAGAGATCCACCTGCCTCTGCCTCCTGAGTGCTGGAATTAATGGTGTGTGTGTCACCATTGCCCAGCTTCTCCCAAGTATTTTAATAATCAACACAAAAGACCAATCTGGATATTTTGCTGTTTTGCAAGTAACACCAAACTATGAATTACAGATTTTACACTGAGCTTGGTAAGGTTCCTGGAGACTTCAGGCACCTAGGTCAAGGGTTCCTGCACTAGACTATACCCGAGGAGTAGCTCAGATGGTTTATAAAATACTCACTTGCCCATCCAAACCTGTTCAAGGACTCTGTCCTGCCTACACCCTGACCTTGAAATCATTACAATTTCTGTAAGCAGATCATCAGTGTGTGGAGCTATGTAAAGAATGACCACCGGCATGGAGTGAACTGGCCTCAACTGCTAGGCTAGCCTTCCACATTTGAGTTCCTAGTAGGTAATCCTTTCCACTTGTAGTTTCAATCTTCTCTTCAATGCAGACAAAATAAGAGGAAACAAACAAAATAAAACCTGGTTGGCTTAGCTTTACACTCAATAAGAAACGCCACTTTTCCTGCAGATACTGTCGTAGGCCCAGGAAACTTCTGATCCTCCAGTCTTCCAGCTTGGGAATCCAACACCAAACACATGGCATTGTAAAACTGATATACAAAACATACACTGTAACTTTAGTTTTAAGTTTCTCTGATACTGCCAGTCTGATCATTCACTCTCCAGCCTCAGAGAACGATGTCTTGATGCTCATCCATTCAGCTTTTACCTGTCTTCCACGTGTTTATTCTTATATAATGCTTTATTGAAAATTGGGTGGCATATTGTCTGGCTCTTCTTGGTTTTAAATAATGGTGTATTTAAGAATCTGTTTATGGGTTTTCTTTCCATATTTCTCTTGCCACCTAGTAGACCTCAAACTCAAAAAAGGACCCAGTGTATTTTCTTTATTGTTACAGGCACAGGCTGAGACAAAAGTGGTCAATAAATATTTATTGAATGAGTACACTATCTGAGATTCTCATTAGCATACTTTTATTGATACTGAAATACCCACTCTTCACTGTGTAGATTAGCCCAGGCTGGTCTTGATGAGAGGCAGAATTACAGATGTACACTTTCACACTTATTTTAGGAAACTCACTTTAAAATTTAGATTATCATTTTTTTCTCTTGAAATTCCCCTTAGAATCCTATGAACACTCTCAAGATATTAAAACACACCCATGTTCAGGTCCCTAATTAAGCAGTGGAGACTCTGCATAAAACCTATGTCATGTCCTCATATAGATTTTTAAACCACAAGTTACTTACAATCTAATAAAATGTTACATCCACATGAACATGTATTATTTAGGGACTAACATAAAAAACCCTTTGAGTATGAACTGAATGTTGACTGAATCCATAAATTTGGAGTCTGTAGAGAAAGGGCAACCTGCACTAAATGGCAAGCACTGTCTGCAAATAACTTGAGTACTAATAAAGATAAATATGGAGGCCTAAGAACACTTACAGAGCATAGAAATGAAAAGAGTGACGAAATACTACCTGGGCAACCTACTAAACAATCAGGAAACACAAGACACCAAACAGCTTAGGGAACAAGGTGGGGAGGTAATGAACTGAGAAAACTGAGGACAAATCAAAGTCCTGTAGCTTAAAATAAATCTTTCTCGTTATAGATGGGGTAGAGATGGGGAGCTGCTGCATTTGAAAAAGAAAAGGGAGCAGGCTGAAAGCTAGAGAAACCCTGTCTCAAAGATCAAAAAAGGGGGGAGGGGGAGAAGGAAGGAAGGAAGGAAGGAAGGAAGGAAGGAAGGAAGGAAGGAA